TAATTTTTTTCCTACCTTATGTTATTTTCATGGCCATCTATAACAATTATTATATATACGCTTTCTATTATTTTAAAAAGTATTTTTTAGGATTTATTTTTGTTTTGAATAGATAGATGTTTTAGGTTTTGTATACATTTTTATAAACTAATATTAATAAATTATAAATTTCAAAAAACTAATTGAATTTATTAAATTACTATTGGTTTAAATTTACAGGGAATTGTTAAGCACAAAATAATATATTTATTGTCGAATTTTAATATATATTTTTAATATATATACAAATTTCAAAATATCTTTTTTCAGGAACAGAGGAAGTATTTATATTATATGTACAAAAGAAAGTCTATATGACAAGATGTGATAAACTAAAAAACCGGGTTAAACAATAATAACCATCCGATTCTATGCTTTCAAAGATGTATTAAAATAAATAATATACCAATAGACAATAGTTGCAATGATATTTTTGCATGCGAGTCTAGCTCCATAGATTTACTGGATGAATAAGTTGACTTTAAGCATAATCTTACTTGATCTTGATTTCTTAACAAGACTATATGTTTGACGACAAAAATAATTTATATTTATACTCCTACAAATTAATATAATTAAGTAGATGTCGTTTGGTTAATGTGTAATGCTGCAGTGATCAGGGTTGTCATTGGTAGTCGACAATATGTTGATAAACCGTTTTCATCTGATTGAAAACCAATCCGACGTAAATAATCGGAAACCGTACCAAATTTTGACATACTTTAAATATATTCTATATCCACACAACTGAATTCTCTGAAGCGAACCGGAAAAAAAACAAGATTAAACTTTGATTTATTTGAAAATAATTATATATTGATTAAAATTTTAATTCGAACTCAAACCATGTAAAAAAAATTCATATTAAATTAATTTACATTTCGGTTATAATATCATTTATAATCGAAAACTCGAAGAAGGAAAAAATAGATATCATTATTGAAATTCGGATTGAACACACCAAGCAGTGGTGATGGACGAGCGACTATAGTCCGTCGTGATTAAAATTCTATCCTTTTCTTTTGGTTGAACTAAAGTTTTATCTTTTAATCTACAACTATACTCATTTTCTCTTTTGGTGTCACTAAATTATATATGATGATATGTATGCTGTGTTTCAAACTTTATTTATTATGTTCTAGCAGTCTCGATCCCCCTCTGGTACATATATTAATATATGTATACATAAGGATATGACCAAGCTACTTGTTTGTTGGTCAAATGAATTGAGGGGGAAATGTTTAATGATTCCTGTTAAGGCTACAAAATGGACTTACTTATGATTTGAACTTTAATAAGGTCTCTCTAAAGTTATCCCCCAACAAAATCATCTTCAAATTAGCACACGATTTATCATTTCTCTTTCCAACCAAAAAAAAGAGCGTCCTGCTACATCCATTTATTCATTCGTTTAAAGTATTCGATTCGAAAAATTTCCATATATTTTCTCGGAAAATGATCTCAGGTTGTTGTTCTTCTCTTTTTAATTTTTGTTTTGGACAGTGAATGCGTATCTTGTAGTCTTGTACTAAGGCTCAAACTTACATCTTGTATATTATTTTAAAGGGAGACATGATTTTTCGAAGGTATATGGTCACTTACAAGTAGAAAATAATAATGCTGCATTAACGTATAGTTATGACATTCAGCACCAAAAAAAAAGAATAATTATGCCTGTTTATTTTTTTCTTAAAGAAAGTTCAGATAACGTTTACGTGCATTCTGAACGAAATAATTTAAACTGTGGTTGTCCTTTTATGTGCATTAGCGATTGTTTGACACACAAGCCACTAAAATTGATGTTACTTGCAGACACTTGTTCCACTGCCGATCTTTTGTGTCTTGTCCACGATTTAGCGTGTGTGTATATATATAATATATAGATATAGAGCTAGTCAGATATTATTTAATATGGGTTACATAAAGATATATGGGTCCTTTACTTCGGCATGATGAGTGATACATATCGAGTGTTTCATGTTTGGAACCAATATATCGGAGAAGAGGTTGATACAACAAAGGTAACGTTTGTGCTAAATATATAATTTAGAAGTTTGAGGTCGCCATTGTGAAAATTAGCACAAATGGAATGGCTATATAATAATATAAATGTCTTCTACTTCTACCGATACCATAATTATCCGGAACCGGCATATTTCATTAATCCGTTTTGTAATTCTGCACAGTTTTACCGATTACATATAATTACGTCGTTCTTATTGTACATATTTTCGTTTTTCATGATTTTGCATCTTAATGTTATCAAGGGCCATAACTAATATAAATCACCTAATGGAAAATTTAAAACAAGACAGAACTTAAACAAAGAAATATATATATATATATATATATATAGAACAAAGAAAAAGAAAAATATCCAGTTTTGCATGCGCATAACCCATAAATCTGCGTCTCTCATTACAGAACACAAGAAACAGAACAGAATCAAAAATGCACACTAATTAGATCTCTCACATACACGCAGATTCACAGATACATACACGCATACATACATAAACAAGATACACAAAACAAACACAAACTCTCATCATCTTTCTCGTTTCATTATGCCTGCAATCATGATTTCTTGGTCTCTTAACCAGCATGCTCCTACTTCTCTATCCTCCAAAATCTCTCCTATAAATACCACTTCCCTCCCACTAATCACCACTACCTCTCCCTTCTCTCTCTACACACACACATTTTCACATTTCCTCTGTTCTCGCAACTTACTCTGTTCTGTTCTGTTCTATTACTACCTCTTCCTCTGATCTTGCAATGGCAGTGTCTGGGTTCGAGGGATTCGAGAAAAGACTCGAACTTCGGTTCTTCGACGATATCAACTCAATAACCAGTAAGAACACGATGGGACTCCGTCTTATCGACTTCGAGTCTCTAGACCTAGTCTTAAACGAGGTGCAGTGCACGGTGGTCTCCGCCGTAGCGAATCGTAGCTTCGACGCATACGTTCTCTCCGAGTCGAGCCTCTTCGTCTACCCAACCAAGATCATCATCAAAACTTGCGGCACCACGCAACTGCTCAAATCAATCCGACCGTTGATCCATCTCGCGCGTAATATCGGCCTCACGTTACGCGCGTGTCGCTACTCGCGCGGCAGCTTCATCTTCCCTAATTCGCAGCCTTTCCCTTACACGAGCTTCAACGACGAAGTCATTATCGTCGAAGAAAGCATCCCGAAATCTCTCCGTTACCGTAAAGCCTCCGTCATGACGCCTTCTAATAACCCCTCACGTGCTTGGCACGTGTTCACCGCAAGCGCTGACGTGGAATCCGACGAGCAAGTCGTTGTAGTTGAAGTCTGCATGACGGAGCTTGACCGAGTCAACGCTCTTAGCTTCTTCAGACGGAAAGGAGACGAGAAAAACAGTGATTCCGCCGGGAAAGAGATGACGCGGCTGAGCGGTATTGATATGATAAACGCAAACACGTTCATATGCGATTTCGCGTTTGATCCTTGCGGCTACTCGATGAACGGAGTAGACGGAGACCGTTACTCGACCATCCACGTCACTCCTGAAGACGGTTTTAGCTACGCGAGCTTCGAATGCGGTTTATCTCTCTACGACGACGGTCATGGAGATATCGCCGAGGTGTTAAGCCGCGCGATTAATGTTTTCAGGCCAGATTCAGTCTCGATCGCCACCACTTACGGCGGCGAGGATTATAACCCGGAGGTTACGAAGCGCGTGGAGCGCGTGTTAGCGAAGAAGCTTGGTCTTAAGTGCCGGAGCCGTCTTATGGATGAGTTTCCTGGCTCTGGAACAGTCGTATTTCAGTCATTCACGCCTCGCCGGAAATAGTCCTTTTGCCGGAGGAGGGAAAAAATCGAAAAAAGGGTTTTAGGTGTTAATTAGTTGAGAAGGGAGGACACACAAAAAAAGAAGGTGATGACGTGGAGGGAGATTATTGGTTGACTTGGGTAAGGAAAGATATATAAGTGGAAACATATGATCATGCACCCCACTTTGCACTTTGTGGCAATGTCACGCCTAAGCATTTTTGAGGTTCAGTGTTGTAGAATTTTAGTGGGGGAGGGTAAAAAAAGTTTGATCTTTTTTATTTCTTTTCTTTCTTTTGGTTCTTATGTTTGTTTTTTAAAATTTTTAATTGAAATTATCTTAAATCTATATATCAAACTTTTGATATACGGTTTAATCGTTCTTACCTATTATATGGTAGTTGATTACAAATTAATTCATTCACCACCGTAGAAAGTATTTCTCACTTAAAATAAACCATTGCCAGAAGTTTTGTTTTAGCAGTTTTCGTTATTTTTTGTCGGTTTCAATTATTTTCGACGTCTCATGTCGGAATCAGCATCACACTGATATATATATATATATATATTTTTTTTTTTTTTGATATGAACACACTGATATATTTTCACGCCAGTTTTCTGGTGTTAAAAAAATTTGGTCAAAACTGCGTCATAAACAGATATCTAAAACTCGTAGTTAACACAACAAATTATGATCATAACCTGGATTCAAACAGGATAATAATATGCATGTTTAAGCTTTAGACAATAAAAAAAAAAACATCATCAAAAAGTTAGGCCTAAGTAACGCTTTTTGCTATTGACCTTATAAGAAAAAATAACAGTTGGGATAAATTAACATAATTAATTAATGTCAATAATCGCGCATGTAAACTCTTATCCACCCAACATACGAAAATACAATTTGCACGTGACAATTATTGGCTAAAAGTAAACCCATTTTTTTTTGTCCAGTAGCAAAATTGTACCTCTTTTAGTTACAATATAAACTGCACTAAGATCTTCACTGAGCAGTGGAAGCCTCTCAAGCCACTCCTCTCTGAATGTTAACTTTTGTAACGATTGCTGAATAAATCTTTTTTCCCTTCAAAGAAAATAAAAAACCCCAACAATTTTGAAGATATCCAGAGAAAGCAGAAGTAAATGAAAATTTCTCAATTTCTCGGCTTTTCTCCACTGCCCATTGGCCTATTCCTTTACCATCACAAGATTCATGCTCCAGTAACATAAAGTAGCATACAAATAAAAGGATGTATAAATTTTGGAAGAACGATGTACTCATGTACAATATTCTTCGTGACAGAGGAACATATAAGAAGTAGATTCCGTTTGAAAGGTACCAAATGGGAGCAAAAACAGAGATATCCTCTGAAGGAACCAAATGCATATATCATCACATCCCAGCAAGAAAACTCTACTACTTCAGAGACGGCAAAAGAAAGATTCTCTGCAATGAACCAAACTCAACAAGCAAGAAGACAAAAAAAACAAAAAAACAAGATCCAGCTTGCTCGAAGTGAAAATTCCGAGTGGGTTAGTTTACATTGTACGAAAGCTTGTACATTTTGCAATCTCCACAATAAAGAAAATCGCTAGAAAACCATTATGCAAAGCCGTATATATATATAGATGAGATAATAATAATATGGTTTCTCTATAAGAAGTCTCTAATCAAATCCTCTTCCTTCCAAATCAGGTGTGCCTTCTCGTCATCTCTGTCATTTCTTCGTTTTCCTCTCATGGCATGCCTTCAAAGCTTGAACGTCTTTGAAGCAAATCACAAACAACAAAAATGATATCAACACTATGCCTGAATATATCCGGAGACAATTTAATCAATCTATCAGCTCTTAGCAAGTTCCTCCCACAGATGAACTAGTCAATGACAATCCCAATTTCGTTCTTTTGGGCTACAAAACCCTAAACCCCAGCTCTAAAACCCTCAGATTTCAGATTTAGCTCGCAAGAAAAACTGAGACAGAGAGGGGACGTACGTTTCTGGCAAGATTTCCAGTCCCTATTGCTATCAACAAGACAATCCTGCATTTTTTTTGAAAAAAGTGAGAAAATTAACGATTTAAGGAATTTAGAGCAGATCGGAGAATCAAAGAGGTGATGTTAATTGATCTGGGAAACAAAACCTGTAAAGACAGATATAGAGAAGAACACTCCTTGAGCTGTTTCACATTCTCGTCATCGTCGTCTGCATCCATTTGATGATTCGGAGGAGGAGGAGGAAGTTGCGTCTCGGAATTGGGTTTCTCCGTCACTTTCTCCATTTCAAGGCGAAATTAGACGAGGAGAAGAATACTCAGAGATCAGAGAAGTCTCCGTATAAGCCACTCTTCTTCTCTTGTGGGCTTTATTTATTTATTTTATAGCTAAAGCCCAGGCCCATTTATATATTGGAAGAAGCTCTGATATGTAAGTGGTCAACATGTAGGTAAGTCAAATATAAATGTAACAGTAGAAGATTCTTTATCTGCTCTACTGACTTCAGGTCCACTAACCTTTGTCGGGTCTTCTGGATACGCCTGTGCCACGTGGCGTTAACCCACCAACGTGGGAGCTGTCACATCCACATAAACAAGTTCTTTTCTTCCTTTTGAAAATATCGCAAAATGGTCAATTTTGGCAAAATGCTAGTATTATTCAAAATGATGTTACTTTTCGAAGAATAGAGAAATACTAGAAAACTAACCTTCAATAATTAAAAAAAAAACACTAGTCTGTTACTCTAAATTTAGGATTTGAAATATACATCAAATTATGGAGAATATTCTCCTGTCATTTCTATTTTGAAAGCTAAAAAAAAAGATGTTTATTTCATCTAAAATTAAGAAAGAAGAAAGGCATTAATTATAGAATGAAGAGGGGAAAATTCAGTTCTAAGAAAAGAGAAGATGAGGTGTAAGAGAAAACCAATGATCATGTCTTCCGATACTTTCTCTCTTCTCTCTCCTTAGTCTTTTCTCTCTCTCTCTCTTTGCCTTTTTTGTCTCATTTTCTGTCTCCAATCCATGGAAGGCGTTCGAGACTCGTCAGAAACTCTTGCTTCCACGACGACGTCATCTTCGTCTCCCTCCTGGTAATTCTCCTTAAATTTTTTGTTTTTGTTTCAGACCATTTAAAGTTACTGTTTGATTGTGTTCAGAGAGAGACATCTGTTGTTTAACGTTGCTTGCGGACAAGATTTGCAAATGATTGTGTACCGTGTCTCGCAAGCCATTTGATTTCACCTGAAAAATAACTCAGTTTCTTTTCTGATGATAAACTCGTGATCTCGCAGCGATGTAGACGTTGAGAATCGTGGAAAACAATTAACTCCTCTCTCAACAAGAAGATCTCGAGCCGGCTTCTCTGATTCTTTCTCTTCTCATGGTAATTCAATTATAATTGCACCAATAGGTTATTATTATATAACAATTTCATTGACTTGAAGATTGTTCTTGTGCTAAAAGGAGGGTTTGCTTTTTAATTTTCTTGCACCAGATCTACCATCACTCTGTCGAGATGATGAAAAAATAACAACATTCCGCCCCTACAAATCGGAATCAGACGATGACTTTCTAAGGAGCATAGAATCCGAAACATCAGCTTCCGTTGTGAGCACGTCAGAGTCGTCATCGTCATCAGAAGCTCATCATCATCAGCAAAACCACCACCATCATCATCATCATCATTCGTCTGTAGGCCCACACAACGGTCACTGGAAAGGCTTCTTTCGTTTGTTCAAGAAAGGATCATCCGCGATGCCATTCAATACATTCGCACCTCTCAAAGGAGTCCCGAAACTGACCAGACGTAAGAGCAAACGCATAAGAGACAGCATGGTCCCTGTTATACCTGCTGCTTCTCTTGACACTGGTGATTTGTTCTGCTTCAAACCCTCTTGGAGAAACTTCTCTCTCCAAGATATTCAAACCGCGACAAATGGCTTCAGCCGTGGTTCGAAATTTAACCCTTTTAACAACTCTTGTTACATTTTCATTCCACATTTTTTTTTTTATATATGAAGTGATGTAACATGCAACTTTTGGATATTATATATGACAGAGAATCTTATCGGAGAAGGAGGATATGCGGAAGTGTATAAGGGACAGATGCTAGATGGGCAAATAGTGGCGATAAAGAAACTGACTAGAGGTTCTGCGGAAGAGATGACGATGGATTATCTGTCCGAACTAGGGATCATAGTTCATGTAGATCATCCAAATATTGCTAAGCTTATTGGGTATTGTGTTGAAGGAGGAATGCATCTTGTTCTTGAGCTATCTCCTAATGGAAGCCTCGCTTCTTTGCTCTACGGTGAAAGATCCATATCTATATATTTGATGTTTTCAGATCTTTCTAGAAAATATTTGGAAATCCTTTGGAAAAGATATATCCAAAGTAAATTCAAACTATAAAAAAGTATAGGTTTCAGTTGATATATGTGTGTACATATTTAAAAGTTTCCTATCAAATTATATATACGAATGCACCGCCTTGGTCTTGTATGTTATTGCAAACTTAATTAAGATCTTTATATAACATTTTGTAGAGGCGAAGGAGAATCTGAGTTGGAGCATAAGATACAAAGTGGCAACGGGAACAGCAGAGGGACTCTACTATCTCCACGAAGGTTGTCAGAGAAGGATCATTCATAAAGACATTAAAGCCTCTAACATCCTTCTCACTGAGAACTTTGAGGCTCAGGTAATAATTACTAAAGAGAAAGCTAAGATCTTCATTAACCTAATGAATAGTCTTTTGAAGTAATGATTGTGAAACAAGAAATTAAATCATATTTGTTGTTTACAAACTGGGGACTGTAGATATCTGATTTTGGGCTAGCGAAATGGCTACCGGACCAGTGGACTCACCATACCGTGTCAAAAGTGGAAGGAACATTCGGGTATGGCCTCTCTCATTGATATACACTTCATGATAGATCTATCTCACTTAATCTCTTATGTGTTCATCGACCAGTTACCTTCCGCCGGAGTTCTTCATGCACGGGATAGTAGACGAGAAAACAGATGTATATGCTTATGGTGTCCTGCTTCTCGAGCTCATCACCGGTAAACAAGCCCTCGACAGCTCCCAACACAGCCTTGTCATGTGGGTATGTGATGTGACCATATCTTTATCCCTAGTCATTCTCTTCTACTCTTTTTTTTTTTTTATCTTGGGATTTCATAACCAAATATGTCTTATATATTAACAAGGTTGTGTCATATTTTTTCTTTCGTTATTTTATTACTAACGTATGGTCATCTATACATGTTCTATGCAGGCCAAGCCATTGATCAAAGAGAACAAGATCAAACAACTTGTTGATCCGATTTTGGGAGATGACTACGACTTAGAAGAGTTGGACCGTCTTGTCTTCATAGCGTCCCTGTGTATACATCAAACCTCCATGAACCGGCCTCACATGAACCAGGCATGCATAGAAAAGCATCCATTTTCATTCATTTTTATTGCCACTATAGTGTTAATAGATGCTCTCTTACAAATATATTCAGGTTGTGGAGATTCTGAGGGGAGACAAGGGCAGCTTAGATCAACTAAGAGAACGAGAAAACTCCAAACTTCAGAGGACTTACTCCGAAGAACTATTGGATAATGAAGAATACAACTCTACAAGATATTTGAGCGATATTCATCGACACATGGAGACCGTTCTCGGAACATCTAAAGACTCGTGAAAAAAAACAAACGTACAATTTGCTAATTGCAAAGAGAAATGATTTCACTTAAATCTTAATGCATATGTTCACTATATATATAGATTAATCCGATCAGGATTGGATATATTAATTTAGGAGAGAGTAACCAAAAAAAGTTTCTAATATTGTTCCAAATATGTTGTACCATGTCCATGGTGTATGTATTTGATCATGATCATGATGTTGTATTCTTTTTTTCTTTTCAATCTTTGACTTGAACTATTGTTTGCTTAATGTTATCTTTTTGTATGAATTTTTTTGTTCTTGGGTTTTTCATATTTACGTACAATAACAGATAAAAAAAAAACTCAAAATTACGCGTTTTGTCGTTATCTCGTTAGGCAGAGCAATAAACTTGTCACCATTGACATTTTCCCAAGAAAAGCTTCTCTCGTCTTTAATCTCCCGGAAAAATAAAATAAAATTGTACTTCCGTCTTCCGATCTGCTTCCCTTCCCAGTGACTCTCGGGCATCTAGATCCAAGGGACTACAATGTCGATTTCGATATCTCGCTGTGGATTGATGTTGATCTTCGCTATCTTCTCCATCTTGCTCCAATCTTCCACTTCCCTGATTAGTTCCAGCAGCGCCATCGTCAATCCTTCCAAAGTTAAGCAGGTTTCATCGAAACCCAGGTTTGCTTCATCTCTCTCGAAGAAACCCTCGAGTTATTTTGGAAATTTGAACTACAAAATGTTTAAGATTTAAGGAGAAATTCGATGTTTGTCGTGTTCAGGGCATTTGTGTACGAAGGGTTTCTCACGGAATTGGAATGTGATCATATAGTCTCCCTTGTGAGTTTTCTTCATTTTCATCTTCGCTTTGAGCTTAATTCGGAAACTTTTTTCTGGTTAAACATTCTAAATTTCGATGCGTCGTAATTAGGCAAAAGCGGACCTGAAGAGATCTGCTGTTGCTGATAATGATAGTGGAGAGAGCAAATTCAGCGAGGTTCGAACCAGCTCTGGCACGTTTATCTCCAAAAGAAAGGTTCGATTTTCTCTTTGTTTGCTTCCCTAATTCGTACTTCCCTGAATTAAGGTTAGAACCCTGAATTCGAAGTGGAAAACTGGATCTCTCCCTCTGAGATGTTCGATTCTGTGATAGATATTGTTTCTTAGGTCCGAAATTGGGGGTAAGTAAATGTTGATCCTGCAAATGACAGATTTTGATAGTTCAAACTCATTTGGTATTACGTTACCTTTAATCACATTTGTAAAATCTCTGTCATTTATCCTTTTGAATGTTGGATCTTGGAAGTTGGAAGAATGACCTTAAGATTATCTATGATTGTTGCTTAGCTACCAAATATTTTCCGGACTAGGGAATCAATTATGAAACTTGCTGGCGATTTAGCTTGATTACATCGATGTGACTAAGAGTTGATCTGCTTCTCCATCACCTGAAGTTTTCTTTTTGGTGAATCACAGGATCCCATTGTTTCTGGTATAGAAGACAAGATCTCCACTTGGACATTTCTTCCAAAAGGTACTCTGAATTGCCTTCAACTTCTTTGCTTGTGAGCAGCAAAGATTAAATTGCAAAATCTTGAATTCTTGAGAGGTTTCAGAAGATAGCTTTCGTAAAGGCCTTCACTTTCTGTGGTGACAGAAAACGGGGAAGACATTCAGGTGTTGAGATACGAGCACGGTCAAAAATACGACGCCCACTTTGACTACTTTCATGACAAAGTAAACATTATCCGTGGTGGACACCGCATAGCAACAGTTCTCATGTATCTATCAAATGTGACAAAAGGTGGAGAAACCGTATTCCCCGATGCAGAGGTTTGTGCTATGATTTTTGCATAACATTTCCCTAAAATGATCACCGTTGGGTCATTCTCTCACTAATAAAGATGTTATTTTTATAGATACCTTCTCGCCGGAAACTCTCTGAAAGCGAACAAGACCTTTCTGATTGTGCCAAGAAAGGAATCGCCGGTGAGAAACAAAACCGATAATAGTAATTCTTTCCTTCTCTTCGAATATTAATCGTGTTAACATCTCTTTGTGTCTTTATCAGTGAAACCAAAGAAAGGGGATGCTTTGTTGTTCTTCAACCTCCACCCAGACGCAATCCCAGACCCATTGAGCCTTCATGGTGGATGTCCCGTGATCGAAGGAGAGAAATGGTCGGCGACCAAGTGGATCCACGTGGACTCGTTCGATAAGATTGTGACACCTAGCGGAAACTGCACAGACATGAACGAGAGCTGTGAGAGATGGGCAGTGCTTGGGGAATGCACAAAGAACCCAGAGTACATGGTTGGAACTAATGAGCTTCCTGGCTACTGCAGGCGAAGCTGTAAGGCTTGTTAAACTTAATTCTACTCTCCTTCTTCTTCTTCTCTTCTTGTGTTCGGTTTTTTTCGAAGTTTCTTCTGTGGTTGTTTCTTGTAGAGTTGTTACCGTTGCTGAATATTGTTATAACTGTAAAGCTACAACAGCTCCCTGGAAAGAATAATATGTAAAAACACTTAGATGCAATCAAATATCCTTTACTGTTTTTAGTGTATTTTTGTTGTTGTTTTCAACACTGAGTGTCCTGCTCAGTGGTGTGATCCAGTTCTTTCTTTGTTCTTCAAAGCTTCCTATGACTGCAGATTGAATCTTCTCATTGATCTTTGAAGCGAAACTCTCATAACAGCCTTTTGAATCGACGCTTTCGAGTATCCTGACTCGTTTCCCATGCATTTTATCGATCACTATCTGACCGTCTTTCGATTCATTCCCTTCTGCGATCACTTTCACTCTCTCATCTCGTAGATTCACTTTCAGATGATTTATTATCTGATGTGGTGATCTTGGCTAAGCTAGTCAACGGTCCATTGGTTAGTACAGTGATCTCAGACACTCCATGACCAGATTTGACAAATTTGTACTAACTGTAATCTCTGTCTAATCAAGCATTAAAAGTTCCAACACAAATCCGAGGAAAGAGTAATTCTTAAGCATATAAATTCAATCAAATTTTAGAGCGGTTATAGACATTTTTTTTGTGTGTGTTAATTTGGTGGTGTGTTCCATTTCTTCCTTTGTTCTTCAAAGCTTCCTATGACTGCAGATTGTTTCGTATCATCGAGTGTAGAAGCAAAACTTTCAATGTATCCTCTAAAATCTACTCTTTCGAGTATCTTTATTTGTTTCCGGCGCAGTTTATCGATCAATATCTGACCATCTCTCGACTCATTTCCTTCAGCGATCACTTTTACGTGCTCAGCTCGCAGTTTCGGCTTTAATGAAGCGTGATCGCCTCCCAAGAAAACTGCTCCAAGAATCTCCCCTAAGAACATGTCCTGCAACAACAATCTAGGGTTAGTTTGAAAACCAGACGATGATCTTGATTGGTTCTTTGCGTTTACATTCACAAATCTATTTCAAATAAAATCACAAACTAGTTTTGTAAACAGAATGACAAGAGAGAGGCTGTACCATGTGCGTGTATCTCTTGTGTTTCTGTTGAAGAGCTTGCAATCTAGCAAGCAGCCGTTTCACAAACCGGGCTTCCGGCGTTTTCCCCGAGGAATGGAGACTATCAAGCATCGTCTGGAGTGAGCTCAAGTTGCGTTGGGTCGCTAGAGGGATGAGTGTGATGTTTAGACCGGATTCGAGAACGGTCTTAGCTGCTAAAGGATCAAGAAACATATTGTATTCTGCGTATGCATTTGAAGGAACCGTGAACAAGTTGCCTTTGTCTGATTTCTCACGCTTTATATGTCCTCCCACAATGTAAACTTCCTGCAGATTAACATAAGAGGCCATCTTAGTTCGGAACCAAAGATCTTCGAATCTTGATGAAAACTATATTCTATAGAGAGAGAGTAACAGAAATTCTTAATTGCCTTGATTAGTGAGGATGATTTATTATTTGATGTGATTATCTTGGCTAGGCTAGTCAACGGTCCGTTGGTTAATACAGTGATCTTAGACACGCCATGACCAGATTTTGTAAGATTTTGCCAAACTTCAAGTGCCAGAGGTTGTCGGAGCTCAGGCCGATCAGTATCCCTCGGAGCTCCATGTGCCACTGAGTTCTCCGCAGTGTATCTGCATAAATAGTAATATATTGATAAGAATTTCACATCAAAATAAAATAAAGAAAAAATTTCACATCAAAATAAGAAAATTGATGACCTAATATACATAACCGACTTATATATACCTGCGAGGACTTCTCGGGAGGTCACGAGCAAGACCGTAGAGAGTGTCGGAATCAAGAAAGCCGCCACAGCCTCGTGGAACAGCCCTGACGTACTTGCAGTCTCCAACTGGTGGGAAAATCAAGTCAGACTGGTTCATTGCGAACATTTCTCCCATACCGACTGGAATGTCGTCACGACCCATCATATGGAGCAGATCGTAGACCACATCGATTGTTGCTGCATTAGCCCAGCCGGTTGGGCTCACAATAATGGCCTGGCGAGTCAATAGAAAGTATCTGTTAGGATATTGAAGCAAGAATAAGATTCACCTGGTTACTTATGCAACCAGCAACCTTAATTTATATTCGATATACAGTAATTTGTTTTCCCCTAGTTACTTGTATATCAAGGAACGGTTAGATCTATGTAAAATCATACCTTCAAATCGATTTTCTCCACCGGGACTTTAAGAAGGTAGAAGAGAGAGAGGAAATCTCCGGCGCTCATGTCCATGTCGAAAACAACCGGCTTTCCGAGTTGTGTTTTGCTAAGATCTGGTCTCAAGAATTCCTCTTTGTAGTATGGAAACTGAGATGAAAAGTTAAATCTCCCTGTTTCTTCAGGTCTATTCAAAACCTGTTCATTATGCAAGTAACTCTGTTATATCAAACAAAAGAAACGTGTGATCTGTAAATTTTTCCTGGTTAGAATTATCTGAGAATATGAAAACTTACTTCCAAGAAATCAACATAGAACTCTCTGTCAAGTTTACTTTTGATGTTTACGTTCGGCTTAGCCCGTGTCGCGACAAGAACACGAACTGAATCAGGTCCAGAGATCTCTTGGGTGTAACCATCCTAATATAATGTTAGTTAACCAAAAAGTGGATTAATTAATGTACCGTAATTTGCCTTTAAAATGAAACCAAATAAGAAACTCAAAAAGGGTATATATAAATTAAGGAAACACAGACCTTACACCTCCCTTTTCCGCTTTTAGGTATGCAGATTGGATCTCGCAAACCCATCTGAACATGACCACTGTGAACTCCTCCAAGGGTTAGGTTAAACTTTGGAGTTGTTCTTTTATCAAAGAATGGATTTGAGCCATCAGATTTTCCGTAAGGTTTGTTTGAAGTAACAATGGTAATGTTCATATACTCCATCTCCGCAAAATCGTTCTCACCATTGTTCTTGTTCTTATTACCAGAGTTTCTCATGATTGAGACTGCAACACCAGCCGTGAAAGAATCCCACATGAAATAGCTCTGGAAATTATCACAAATGTAATTTTTGAAACGTGAATAACTTGTATACCACTAATTAGTAAAACAAAAACAAAACAAAAAATCGTTTTCAAAACATTTTAGTTTGGAAAATGGATTCTATATATGATACCTTGTAGAATTCATCGTCGAACCAAGTGTCCCTGGAAATTTTCAAAGACAAGAAAATATATTGAGCTTCGTATGTTCTCTGGTTGTTTTCGAATGTCTCAAAGAACTTCTTGTTGATAGGTATTGTGTTGGTTGCATCTAGAGGAACCAAAGTCACTGGAACACCTGAATGAACAACCTGTAATATTTTCTCTTGATTATTGAATAACTGTTATTGCTTTTCGTTTCATAAAATATATACTTTGAATGAATCAAATAATTAAAAATCCAAGTGAGAAAATGAAATGAAACCTGATAAGCAGCGAAAGGATCAGCGAAGATGTTGAATTCAGCGTAAGGATTACTAGTATAATCTGTAAACAAGTTCCCTCTGTTTCCACACTGTCGAGGTTGACATTCCTCCGCCGTGGAATTCGCCGGACAGCATCCGGTGGGGTTTCGCGACCGTACACCACCGCCCATGACGTAGATATGTTGGATGTTGTGTTTCAGGTGAGGATTTGACATCATGAAGAGAGCGAAATTCGTGTGAGATCCGAGGAGCATCACGGTGACTGGACCTTCGGAAACTTTGTCGGCGATTACTTTTTGCGCCGTTGGTTGCCGGAGAGGAGTGTATCTTCTGTTCCCCTGTTTTTACATGAAACCAAGCTTTTTCAAAAATATTTAGTTAATTTTTCATCCGTTTTCTTGAAATTTTGTGCCATTTACCATATGTTTTTAACTTTTTATTAATGTAATAGAAATAAAATGTAAATATCTATTAGTCCAAAACCAGACTTCTTTTACGTCTGCTATGGATAGTGGATCGGATCTGCCGATACTAGACCTACAATTATAGATATTACTACTATGCTTCAATCTATTAGTTGCCGACAAGTGTTTGAAAATACAACTCATAGACACTTCTATTCGAACCACCATTTCTATGATTCTAGCGACACGTGTTGCAGCCAAGAGATACCAACACATGTGTCGCAAAACCTTCCACAAAGTTTGACAATTTTTAAGATTCTAAACGGTAGTTGCGATTAACGTAACTTAGTTGGTGCGATGCGATAGGATATATATATATATATATATATATATATCACGCCATTATAGTTTTTAGATAATCAACGCTATTATTCTAAGTATAGTTGCTACGATCTGTGTATTTAAAAATGGTGCGGTCAAAACATTACTCTTTCACAGTTAAAAACAAATATTAGCTTTTTCAGTTATTCTGAATAGTGAAGAAAGCTTCTATTTTAATTTAAAAAATCCTTTTATATATAGAACTTTTGATTTTTTGAGATAAATTATAGTAACTAAATAAAATAAAAATACCTGAGGAAGAAACTGTTTGCGAAACCCATAATTAGAATCAATGTCAAGTAGGCCTCCAAAACCTTTAGGAATGGCTTGTCTGTATCTACATCCTCCTGTTGTTGTCATCCCCTAACACACATATTTTACATTTTAACCTAAGTTAATACAAAATATTCCAGAAAACAAACTGTCAAGAAGAAGAAAGAGGAAGAAGAGAACCCTAAGCAAAAGTTCAAAAAAGAAAGAAAAGGAGAACCTGTTCGATGATCGGAAAGTAACCACCGACGTCGGAGAGAATAGTACCGTCGTCGAGAATCCCACCTTCTCCGCCGACACCGACGGCGATATCGTCACGACCCATCATGTGCAATAAATCGTATACTTGATTCACTCCGTGTCCTGCGTTTGTCCACGCGTTTGCACTCAATGAAATCACCTGTTTTTCAAAAACAGAGCATTTGATTAGCTGATATTAAAGAAATTTGAAGGAAAAAGAGATGACTGAGAAAGTAACGGGCTTACGACTAGATCGAACTCTGATTTGTTGAGTTTTAAGAGATAGAGTAGAGCAAAGAAATCGTCTGTGTCGACATCTGTATCCACTAGAATACGGTGTGGGCTAGACAAAACAGAAGGGAGGTTTTGTCCTAAGAGTCCAAGAATAGTGACGACTGCGATGAACAAGACCCATAAACTCTTCGAAGTTGGACTCACCAACATATTTTAGAAGATGAAGAAGAAGAAGCGCAAAGATGGATACAAGGAAAAAAAAAGCAAGAATATAAAAGAAAGTTTGGAGATACTGTTTCTTGTCTGAATCTGATAACAAACTCAAAGATCCGTTTCTTCAAAAGAATCACACCAAGAAACCATTACATGAAGTGGATAATATTATGGGGAATCACTCAGAGCATACTGTCACATCAAGCCTTTGTTCTGCTTAGACAAAATGGAGAAGAAAAAGATAAGTTTCCGAAGGTTGTCTTCAGAATTTTTGATTTTTAACGTCTTCTTCTTCAAAGATCTTATGAGCAGACAGAGTAAAAAGAATTAAAAAGCCTTCGCTTACATAGCAGTACTGTGGAAAGTTTGTCTGTAAACAAAATGGGAAAGAAGAAAAGAGAGAGATATACAGACGTGCAATGCAGAGAGAGGGACAGGGTGGGCGAGGAGAACCGAGAATTGATATTAAAAAGCAAGTAAGTTATTAAAAACAAAAACCAGAAGTAGAAAATTAAAAATACGAACATATTAGTCCAACTGATTATCGCATTCCTTTGAATTTGTTACAAAGAGATCGAGGAATTTTAAAATATCGATTTTCCAACTGGTTATCGCATTCCTTTTCCCAAGATTCTCTCTAAAGTCAATAGAAACGAACGATGCCGATCCGTCATTAAAGATGACAGAAAAACTAAGTAAAAAAGTTACAACTTGACACTAGTACGTGTATTAGCGACAAAAAAAAAACAAAATGAGAGAAACTTTTAATTACAGTAAAACTAAATGTACTGTGTGTGTGCGTATGTGTTTTGATTAGTTTAAGAGATTGCTGCGACATAATTTTTGTTTGACTAAATTTTTCCCGACATCGTAATCGTGAAAAGAAAAATCTAAGATCCGTGAAAAGTGTTGACTTAAATAACACGTGGAAAATAAGACGTATAGATCACGTGACGTGACGTGGTCGGTTCTTATTGGTTGGAATATTTTCGAGGGTCCCCCGAGGGTTGGCTAATGCAAATTGTAGTTAAATGTTGTAATTCCTAAAGTCTCGCGTTTTTTTAATACTAAAAAAATTGAATATACTAGGTATTTACCCGCGCTATGCTGCAGAATATTTTTCTAGATTTATATATATTTTTAATATAATAAATTATTTATATATTTTAAATGAGTATTATATTTTTTTTTATTAGTTTAAGTTGTGTATTTATATGTTTTAAATCTGAATAAACATTATATATCATTAATTTTTTATTTTTTAAAATTATAATCTACTATCAAATTTGTTTAGCTAACTATCTATAAATGTATATGTAAGAATAAAACAATACATTTTTAAGTAATTCAAGCTAATGGTAGATATAATTTATTTTCTCTACTAAATTACTAATTGATCCTCCTTTGAAATTATATAAAGCAAATTGTCATTTAAAAAATATAAATTAATATGATTATTTTAAATTATAAAATTTATTTATTTATCAAATATTTATTATAGATATATGTTTCTAAAACTACCAAACTATAATCAATAACATTCATATCAAAATCATTACTATTATTTTAGAACTAAATAGAAAGTTCTATTTGAACTGTTGAAATATCAATTTAGTTAAAGTTAAATAATTCAACTTTGGTTACTATAAACATATTATAACTTGAAAATTTAGCACTGAGAAATTTTATCTTTTTACAAAAACCGAGAAATTGTATTTTCCGCCAAAACCAAAAAAAATTATTTTCTCGTCAAACCTGAAATTTTATTTTCCTACCAAAACAAAGAAATTGCATTTTCCTTCAAAAACCAAAAAATCATACTTTCTCGCGAGAACCTGTGTTTTTCTGTCAAAACAGAGAAATCAAGTTTTTTCACCAAAACCAAAAAATTTCATCTTCCTGCAAAAACAAAAAATAGTATTTTTCCGTTAAAACAAAAAAAAATATTTTCCCGTAAAAATCGAGAAATCGTCTATTCCCACCAAAAGAAGAAAAAATTATTTTTCTCGTCAAATCAAGAATCACGCATTCCTACCAAAACTGCTAAACTACAATTTTCCACAAAAACCAAAAATTGCATCATCTCCTGAGAAATTGCGTTTTCCACAAAAATAAGAAATCATGTTTTCCCTCGAAAACCAAAAATCAAAATATATGTCAAAAACTGAGAATTTGCATTTTCCATAAAAACCAAGAAATTATTTATTCCCGCCAAAATCGAGAAATTTTGCTTTTCTATCAACCCGAGAAATTACATTTTTTGCCAAAATTGTCAAATTATAATTTTCCACAAAAATCAAGAAATTACATTATCCATCAAAAGCCGAAAAATTGCATTTTCTATCAAAACCGAGAAATCATATTTTTCATCAAAATTGGAAGTGCATTTCCCTCGCATTTTCTCGTCAAAATCAAATTTTTTATTTCTCACTAAAACTAAAAATTCACATTTTGCCACCAACCCCGAGAATTTGCTTTTTCTGCCATAACCGAGAAACTATGTTTTCCTATCAAAACTGAAAATCACATTTTTCTACCAAAACCAAGAAATTCTCTATTTCCGCCAAACTCAAGAAAATTTGTTCTCGGTAACCAGTGGAAATGCGAATCTCCAAGCTGTGGTGGTCTGAGTTTCTCCTCATTTGCTTTTGCTTTCCATTTTTTTTGTAAACTTTGGGCTTTTTAATGGGTCAGCAAAATAGTAAATTGATTATATTAGTGTGTTAATAATATGTATTATTGTTATGTTTTTATTAGTTTAAATTTTTGCTGATGTGTGAGCTTCTTATAACATAACGCTTTTTGCATTGTTGTTACGAAAACATAATTGATGATGAGTCTACACTTTCTTCAATCATATACATCTCTATCAAGCAAACACATAGTTAGAAATTTTAATTTTTTTGCTGTTATTTATTATTTGAGTTTCAGTTTGGCAAAAATATAAAACAAAGATTTAATTTTATTATTTGTTGTTATTTTATATTTGGGTTTGTTAAAAAAATAAAAGAATTTTTTATTTATTTACTGTTATTTATTGTTTGGGCTTAGGCTTGACCAAAAAATAAAACTAAAATTAACAATAAAAAATATTTGAGTTTTTAATGGGTTTAAATTTAAAATTTAAAATAAATTGATGACTTGTATTAATGAAATATTTTTATTGTTATTTTTTTTTTGCTGAAGGGTCATTTCCTAAAAGCTTAAAAATGCTGATGTGTCAAGCCATGGAGAGACTTGAATGTTATTGTTGTGTTAATTTTTTTTGAAAAAATTAAATGTTTTCTCTACGTATCGATATTACAGATTTACTGGTTAAAACCGAAGGGAGGATGTTTGATCTTAACTAAAGTAGTGAACTTATTGTTTTGTTCTCTCTGACGTTTTCTACAAATCATGCTATGTAATTAATATTTAGTTAAGTTTGTGAAGTTGTGAAGGAACCCAACTATAATAATTTGGACTGCACTGAAGTGGATGTCTTTTTAAAAAAAAACTCAGGCGTGCCGAACACTAGGCCTTACTGAAAATGGACCATTTCCACCATTATCTACGTACACTCGAACTTTGATTATTTAATTACCTTAATCCTTAATAAAATTGTTTTCTATGTTTGCATGTATAGAGCAGACAATATCGGTCAGGATCAAGTTAGTTTCTTTAAGAAAGGTTTTTTTGTATAAATATAATGATGGGTTGTATAAATTATCTGTAATTAATTTAGGTACACCAAATTTTATAACATTTTTTTGTGCGCTTTGGTGGTATTCAACACTGTAACTGCCTGGACCATTCCATGATGACCAGTTAAAAATAAATAATTGTGGATTCATTGAATGATACAATTTTTTTTTTTTTTTGGAACTTTGATCCAACCATATATATACGAAGATTCTACATTTATTTATAAAAAAAAGTAAGAGAGTGACAAAAAAAAGCAAAGAGAAATCGTAGCAAAAGAAAATGAAAGAAGAAGAATGAGAGAAGTCGAATTTAGAAGATTCAACTTTATGATTAATATCTTAAACAGAAAAAGAGTTAATAATTTATAGGAATTTCCACGATGGTGTTGAATAACTCTTCTAAATGTTGTAATTTTCTAGGCCCAAAGGAGGTCCCCACATTATCTTTCAGTCGTTATTCAATAGTGGACAGTTGATTTAAAAGGTAATATAATATATAAATAAAATACCGAGTTGTGGGTATAACATTAACTGCATGCTTCCATCACTACAAACTGGTGTGGTGCTGAAATGAAAAAGGTCAAATTAGCAAAATTATGTAGTTTAATGTGATATATATCTTTCATTATAAAATTAAAATATCGAAGAAAAAAAGTCAGTATAAAATATAAACAAAGTTATTCGTGTGCACCAAAAGGTAACGTGCTTTGTTTTATTGGAGTTTGATGATTCTCTTTGGTCAAAACCCACTTGAGTTTTGGCCCATATTGATAGAAAGTGTGTAGCATAAATCACAAAAAAGATTCTTCTTGACCTTAGTTGATTAATGAAAAGAATAACTCCTAATAATTACTTGATTTGTTAAGTGCTTAAGCTTATAGCACTAATCAGTTTCCATTTGTCTCCACCAAGACCAAAATTATTAATATCACGATCTAACCCGTAATGGGTAACGGTATGTGATGTAGCGTACGGTTTTGGCTCTGTAGAGTACTTTCCAAGTCAGAGAAGTTTTACGACATTTTTTAAAAAATGTTTCACGTTATTTCAATTTCAATTAGGAATATGTAACTTGTTGATTTGATTCCCAAAGGTTTTTGGAATTATTGATAGGGAAATGGATTTTAGTTATGATTACAGTTTCTGTCTGCTCATAACAAGTTTCAAGGCATAAACTTATATATAAACAAAAGATTCTCTAGCTCTCTTATCAATTTCATAGCAAAAAAAAATCTACCTTATTAATTTAGAGCATCATATATAACCTTGGCGATATACGAAATTTCGACCTAGAGAAACTTCAAAAATGTGGTTGTAAAATTGGCAGACTCAATCAAACATATACACAGTACGGTACAATTATTTTCGATTTTTTCTTTTGAGAAAGCAACGGAGAAATTTCTCACTGCCCTCCGGCGAAGAAAAGCTTCCGCGAGGCGGCGACTCCCGATCTCGTGCTCCGAACTTCTCCGAACTCAGAAACCGACTCGTCGTGATACCATCCCACCGATCTCTGCGCGTCATGTACGATCTGCGATAAACCTGCATCCAAACAACACCGATGAAATTTTTAGAGAATTCAATCGGAGAGAGACGAGAGAGAGCGAGTGTAGTTACCTTCTCTGACGGATTGCTTGTTGTGGCGGATATCGTGGATGGTGGCTGAGATCTTCCAGTAGAGAGGGCGGCCGACGTAGAAGAGAACAACCATTACAGCGATCATTATCATTATGCGAAACCAGATTCTCGTTGATGATGGAGACGCCATTGATATTGATCGAGACGACAGAGGAAAGATTGTCAATAAACGAGTTCCAAGAAAGAAAATAGATTTAAAAGAAAGAAAGAAAGAAAAAACTAAAAAAGAAAGAAATCACGCTCCAGGCCAGCAGCAGATTAATATTTCGCCACGTCATTATCACAAAAATAGCCACATGCAGAAGCTTCCGGGTCACTCAGAGAGTTCAGTCACTGTATTATTTTCGGTTAGCGCAAAATCTCACCAAATTGGATTTCTCACGAATTAACCACCTTCCCCGCCATTCACGGTTTACACATCGGTTTAACTCTAAAACTAACCAGATTCTAAGAAAGGAAAACACACAAATGTTTTAGAGAGAGAGAGAGAGAGAGAGTGATTTTTTTTGTATTGTTTATAAATGTTTGGATTTGTATTGATTGATGCTTACAAACGAGAGATCTAACTCCACACATTATATATATATAGTTTACATTCAAAATGAAAGATAAGGATTGAACCAAATTGGTTCAACCAATCTAAGGATGAAAATTGATTTCTTTTACATCGTGTCACACTCTTCTTTACAACATCATGAAGAATTCTAGACTATTCTTAAAAAATGTAGAAAAAAATTATAAATCTTGGAAAATGACTTTAAGTGTTGGTAGGTGAACTATTCTTGTCTGCCCATTTAACCATGATGGCGAGTGGCCACAATAAGGAATTTGAATTATGACAAAGACTTGAGTAAGAAGATATAAACGCATCAAACTCTACTCAAATTAACATTAATGGCTTAATGGGAACATGTAACCACGACGGACTAAATTGTGACAAAGACGTAAGTAAGATATAATAAACGTCTCAAATTCTACTCAAATTAACATTGATTAATGACTTAATGTGAACCATATATAATCTAATGTATCAAAAATTCAAAAAACAAAGTAGAATTGACACTTCATCATCTTAAAAAACTAGTAGTTATATGTGTCATGTATGTAAATTGTTCTACTTCTACAACTTTCAACCCTTTTTCTGTTCCATTTTTATATAGTAAAAACGGGTAATAACCGAACCGCAATTCAGTGGAAATTGAGCCAAACCAAGTCTTTTATTGCTTGACTGATTCTTTACCATTACATTAACTTTTCTTCTAATTTTCCACGATATAACCAATCCAAAACTAATTGATGAAAACTTTGACATGAACAAACAAATAAATAAAAACAAACTTTTACTCAAAATCTTCATCGTCGGAATTTCACCGGTGTATCTCCCGGCAATATTTTACTCTAAACCACCTTGAGAGCTCACCATCGGCAGAAAAAAAAAACACGACTCTTTGGATCATTTTTCCATAAAATTGATTGTATCTTTCAACTTATGTTTCTCTTCGAATACAAGCTTGGATCTCTTCGAGTGTCTTCCCTTTAGTTTCAGGCACCATCTTGGCCACAAAGATAATCGTCGTTGCTGCAAAAGCAGAGTAAATGTAGAATGTACCTACACATACAAAACACACAAACCAAAAAGAACAGCTTTTGTCTCAGTTTAGCGTTTATAGAGCTCGATTTCTTGCAGTTAAACACATTGTTATCCCAAACAAGCCCTTAAGAGTGTGTACCTGGAGAGCTCCAGCTCATGAGGAAGTTGAAAGTGTAAGAAACAGCCCATGCACCAGACCAATTCACGAGTACCACTAAGCTTCCTGCGATTCCCTTCACGTTTATCGGAAATATCTGCGTTTGTTTCATGCCCAAAACCAGAGGACGACTTCAATGTATACTCTTCTAAAACCATTAGCTCTGTTTTTTTTTTTAACAAGGTTACTTTCTACACAAGAAACCATACCTCAGACATTATCACCCAAGGAACAGGTCCCATCCCAATGGAGAAAGCAGCTATATAGATCTTAATAGATGAAAAAGAGACCGGAGTTTTAGTAGTAGCTTCACGGACAATACAATATGTTTAAGGGAGAGCTCTGTTCCAGAAATCTGTTTTTGGTGTGACGTAAGAACTTATTAAGAAGTTTCACTTACAAGTACACCTCCCACGGCTAAGACAGGAACCCATTCAAGCAACAAGCTTTGTTCCTGAATCCGAAACATAACAGATTCTATGTAACGATTTGATTGAAGTGAACAACATATATTAATAGATTTCAAAGTGAAAACTATTGAAGTTAAACTTGATTTTGGGTTAAGCTTAATTTTGGGTTTATAAAATAATTATTAGTTATTAGATTAGGCCCAAAATTAAGCTCAAGTTCTAGAATCTCTAGAAACATCACTAAAAATCATCATCTTTCTTAAATGTTCTAGAGAATTCTATTAGTTAAATATCTAGATAATTCTATAGATAATTCTAGATGTTGTAGTTAAAATTCTAGATATTATTGTAGAAAATTCTAGAGATTAGGAGAATGTTTGTAAGATATTTTGTAATAAGTGGAGCCTATAAATAGCCCACTACTCCATCATTTGTAAACAAGAGAAGTTGAACAAATAAAGAAAGAGTGTTCTTCATAAGTTCTCTTATTCTCTCTAAAGTTCCTTCAAGTTTTCTCTAAGTATTCTTTCATCTTATTATTCATACTTAGAGGGTCTTTGTTTCTTTCGGATCTCTCGGGTATTACGGTCTTGGGCTAGTGCTTGGCACTATCGGTGTTTTCTTTACAAAAACAGGGTTTAGCTGGGGTTTATGATATGCACCTTGAGAACGAAAGATGTTCCTGTGAGCATGCATCCCAAGAAGATACCACCAGCTGAAATCTGCAGGAACATTTGTATAAACATAAAATGGAAAATTTCGACTCGAAAACGCTTTTCCATAGATTAAAAAGGCTTTACCATTATTAGTGGCCTTCTTCCGCATTTATCTATCAAGATTGTTCCAAGAACAGTAATGGGCACCTGTTGAAAAATGATTCGATCTGTTTAAACAACAGTGAAGTGAAGAATATCAAATGAAGTGAAAAGATTTATTCACCTGAATACAAGCGATAGCGATTGTTCCAAGTTTCCCAGACGAAAGTCCTGCAAGTTTATTTTAGAGACATGTTAGAATCTCAAAATGAACATGGGTTCTGATAAAGAAAAGATTTTGAGGATTATCATAATATATACCGGCTTTAACAAACGTTTCGCTTGCGTAGAATCCTATCCCATTGATTCCCACAAATTGTTGGAATACCATCAGGGAAACACCAATCTGAAGAATATTATTCGATCACACATGAAAGAAGAAGCAAAAAAAGACATTCAATTCTTCTCAAAGATTTGAGTTAAATAAATTAACTCTATATACACAATTGATTGATGAGTTTTTGCTATTGGCTTTGAGTTGAACTGAACTTACAACGACAGATCGACCATACTTCTTGGAGACAAGATCTTGGATTCTTGCTTTTGGTAGAATCTCAAGAGATTGAATCGAGACTTGGATATCTTCTGCTTCATTGGTGATATCTGTATCATTTCCTCTCAGCTTTTGTAGAGCTACGCGAAACTCTTTCTCACGGCCTGCTTGTGCCTGAAGGAGCAAGAAAATTTAGAACATGTTGAGGAAACTTTTTTTTCTTTTCTAAAAGATGGATAAAATCATGAATCGGATAGATAAAAGTACCAGCCATCGGGGAGATTCAGGTACGAAGCACAAACCAAAGAGCAAAGCAATGCAGGGGGCAAGTGCTTTTAAGACAACAACAACAACAAAAACATATATCGATGAGTTTTTCAAAGAGAGTGTCGTTTAATATTTAGCAAGTAATATACTCAGAGAAAATAATTTACCGGTAAGTGCAAGAGTTTTCCAGAAAATGAGAGATCCGAACATGTAAGAAACTGATGAGCCGATCACAATCATGAGTTGGTTCAGTGTTGTGAGTCCACCTCGTAGATTCTTGGGAGATATCTCAGCAATGTACATAGGCACCTGTTTTTGTTGATTCATATAATTTTGAGATTCAAAGTTTTTATAAACATTGGATCATAAATATCTACATTGTTTGTGAATAAAAATTACAATTAAGCCGATTTATCTTGACTACTAGATACAAATAATTTATTTCTAAGGTTATAAGATTTGTGTAGTGTAGGCAAAACAGAATAAATTACCACATAAGAAAAAACTCCAATTCCATATCCTGTTGAGAACCTTCCTATATCAAGTAATAAAGCACCCTGCACAACATTTAACATCATATTAAAATCTGATATCGAGTAGATATTTGAAAAGTAGGTGTGTACTCTCCTATAATACCTTGGAGAAGAAGACAGCGAGCCAGCCAGTAATACAGAAGCAAGCTGACATTCTCATAGCCTGAAATGAGTTTCGATATATGTATTTAATGAGCTTTGAAATATTTAAAAATTTTAATTTGGATTTGGGATTGAGAAAGATATATATACCCCTTTTCGGCCTGTCAAATCTGAAATTTTCCCACTCATAACAGCACCAAGCATTGCACCGATTGTTAATATGGATCCAAATATGGAGAACTATGTTTTTACATCCACACACCAAAAAATAAAAAGTTAATCTCATATTGTATTAAAAATCTCCAGTCAGATGGTTTAGTGGACTAGAATTCTAGGTAGAAAAATTTTAATTAAGAAAATCTACAATGTTTGTTAGCTAATTTGCAAAGAAAATATGTAATAATCTAGAGTACCCATTTTTTTCCGGGAAAATAGGCAATATTAATATAAAATGCATAAATGTACTTTATATAATATTTGATAAAATAAAATAAGATGAAAAGGCTTAGGCTCAGACAGAAGCATAGAGACAAACCTCTGCAAGGGAGAGATTGAGATCTTGTCTTATAGATGATTGAGTTGGCGCTGAGTATCCAACCTTCAATAGATAAATTTCTAAAAAAGCTTAGAAATAGTTTGGTGAACTAATTAAGAGAGAGAGGCTTAGCCTAATAAAGGAAACCTCGGTTTGACAAAGAGTATCTCTCTAAAGCCAAAACTTACACAAGAGCCAAATTCAAAGGAGCCACAGACAGCAACAAAAGTGCTAAAGAAAACCATCAAGTAAGATTCATTAATCTCTCTCTCTTCTTCATCATCTTGATCCTCCACACTCTTCAACATCAACAATGGATTCCCTAGACCCTCCACCTTATTTACGATATCACCCCTCTCGACATCTTTGATTTCCTGAATTGCCATTCTCTCTCTCTCTCTCTCTCTCTCTCTCTCTCTCTCTCTCTAACGCTAACTCTACGAGAGAAAATTTTCCAGGAAACAGAGAGATAGAGGGAGAGAGAGAGATGTGAAGAATTTGGTTCTTGAATTTGGTATTTATAGGTAAAAGATTTAAGTGAAGTCTGGACATGGGACGAAGATATTTAAGATATTTGTCCTTTGACCGCAAAATAAATGTAAAATATATAATTGATTGTGAATTAATGATTGAGATTGGTACTGATACTGACAAAAATAGTTCTCATGTGGGATGAAGCTGTCACTGACATGGCTATGATGTTACCCGAATCATCTCCACTTCTTTCTCTTTTGTTTTTGTTTTGCTAACTTAGTTTTCTCTTTCTCACACTTACTAGTTAACTAAATATATTACACTTTAAAGTAACGTATATGTTTTCCTATCTTTTTTATATTCCTACAATTTTTCCTATCTTGTGAGATTCAACCTGTAAATAAACTATATAAATGTTTTTTTCACGTTTTAAAGTCATTCATCATTTTCCATTACATAAACTAAAGAATATCAACAGAAAATAAAATCTATACGGTAATATTCAGGAAATAGATAGATTGCCTGTCTGTTAAAATAAAATCGAATTGATCATACATGTATCTTGGAATTAAATCATTTGGTGAAAATCTTTTTAACTAGATCAATCGCGGATCCCTAAGTCAATGCACACTTCAAGATGATTGTTTATACTCTACTTTTTTTTTTGTTCGTCAAATGAAAAAGATGCGGAAAATTATTTAGTTATGTGCGGGAAAAAATGTGAAAATTAATATCCTCTGTTATTCACCAAATTATTACCTGCAAAAGTGAGGTTCTATCTATTTATTGTTGTATACGTCAAAGTTTTCTTCTGTCTATGAATAAGCAAACTTCTAGAGGCAAAATAAGATTAGTATATGTTCGAACACGTTAAAGCTAGCTAGCGTTTTGATACGTATATGGAGAAAGGTGTGAATCAAACTCCTTAGCCCATTAAATAGTTAATTAAATGTTAGAATGTTGTCGTTTACCAACATATGACTCAGAACTGACGCATCAATTTCCCTATGTGTCGTTGTTTACAAATCCAATCTCCTTTGTCTTTTTCTACCCATTTGCGTTCTATGATTGCACTTAAACGTACTCCAAGATGCGTTCAAAGTACTCGCAAAAATCTTAACCATCTTTCCAGAAATGAAATTATTAAATAGTTTTTACTTACTATTAAGATCATAAAATCATTGCCTATAAAAGTTTACTGATTATAAAAACTACAACTATAATAAAATTAGACACCGTTTTTCTTTCAAATGATATGTTTTTCTTCATAAATTGTCGATACTAATTCGTTTTAATTACGGATCGGGTAAGCTAGAGAGTGTTACTTGTTTACCGGATTGACAATAAACATAAAGTCGATGTTAAACCCGCGTTTAGAGAGATCTCAGGAGGCAAGCCATATATTGAAGCAGAAAACTGTATAGAATTTAAATCTTCAGATTACGATTAGGGTTTTGTCCAAGAATCATTTTTAAGACCAAGAAAACAAAAAAAACAGGTTACAGTGAGCGAAAACAAACACTAGTATATAACACTATTCGATGAGGGATAAATCAAGTCACTGATCAGACCATTTTCTGTTATTACAGTTGCAGCATCGCCAGTCTTAGGAAATTGGGAAGAAGAGCAGAGAGAAAGAGCAAGTAAACTCATCTGATCATTAACCATCTTGTCTCTTTCTCAAGGGAATCTCTACAAGAAAGCTTGCAGCTGAGCTCTGTTGAAAGCTTATACAAGCCCTTTTTTTTTTTAATACAGCTCTCTTCAAGCTTTTTAATGGAACACATTTTCACCGGTTAATATGAGAGTCTCTGCCACTAAACATCTTTTATTCATAGTTTGTGTGCCAATCTGGTTCGGATTGCCACTGCAAGCTGTGTGACCTTGTTTGGATGGTAGAGAACCGCACAGACCGCAAAGCAGACGACGAATGTAGCGATTACGAAAACAGTTTGACGGGACCTGAATGTTTGGGCAGAGTGTCTAGGTATACAGGACTTCCTTGGCCAGTCTCCAATGTCATTTACGTTCATGACAACCTCTTTGTTTAAAAGAGGATCTGACTCTTTTCCACCAGTTTCAGGTGAAGTCGCTTGTAACCTCTCCTTACAATCTAATCCTGCTTCCGGATCCTGTAAACATAACAAATGGGGGAATGTTGTTAAAAAAATTAGGCAAAAACCAGTACGAAGATGCAAGATTGTGTACAGAATCCATTTATATCGCCATAATGTGCCAAAGATATCACGAAACACACAATTAACTATCAGCAGTGGAGCAAGAAATCAAATAAGTACGACAAGTGAAGATTGCGTGCAGAGTCCAGTTTAGATCAAATAAGGGGAACCAGATATTAGAGAAAAAACCTGATTGAAGTTAACTATTCTTGATGGTATGTCCTTCTGGATACTGCCTTCACAACAGCACCCTGATGTTCCTGGTTTCAACTTGGAGTCTTCATGGCTTTGCTGCTTTCTGGCTAGATTCATATTTTCATGTAGAAGCCTCACGTCGCAGTCACACGTACAGTGAACGAGACTGTCTGGCTCCATTTTCTTCACCAAAGCTTCCAGATTGTGCAGTACATTTCCTAAGATCGAGGCTGAGTTACTCTGTATCAGATAATTCAACACTCTGTTGTATCTTTTTATCTGACATCGGTTCACGGTTTTCTCAGTGCAGTCTGAAGAAGGCACCTTCACTGACCACGCAATATCTAATAAGAGCCCAGTGAAGGTGCTCTGCCTCTCTTCGAAATTCCTGCAACAGCAAGTCAAAGAACAGCACGCGGTAACTTCTTGTCCCTCTGGAAAGAGTGTAGCGTTGAACTTCTGCTCTATTAATTTCATTTCAGAACAAATTGCTTCATCTCCAATTATTAGAGGTATGAAATTTGATAGGCCAGATTCATTTTCAACCTAGAAAAGGATTAGAGGAGGACCATATTATTTGCAGAAAAAAAGCTACTTGTAATAAGTATATCCTAAAAAATGGGTACCTCGACAAATGCAGGGCCAAAGAGTTTAGGGTCAGAATTCAGAATATTGATCTTGTATAACTTGTTATTACAAGAACGCTTCCCATCCTGGTCCGGTGCAGGTACAACAGAATAGTTATGTGGTACGTACTTCCCAGCAAAAGACACAAGAAACCTGTAATGAAACCATTATCTGTAAGCCGCATGTTATACTTTCATTCCAGAAAATCTTAGTGGTCACAAGTCAAAGAAACCAAACTAACACATGATGACTAGTAATATATACAACATTTTAAAGGTTCTAGCAATATCAGTTTCATCATATGAGCAATAAGCCAGAACTAAAAAAATGAAAGAGAAGCATGAATCAAACATCCATACCGGCATTTGGGTTGCACAAGGTTATGTCCACTGACAACCAGTTCAATTGGTTTTCCAGCTTCAAAACATGTAGGATACACAAACTGAAGTTTCGGTGACTCTAATTTTACATCGACTCTCTTTAAAGTTGTTCCGCCTGTTAAAACCAAAACAAATTAGAAAGATCTTACAGAGAAAGAAAAAGAATTTGCATTAAAAAATCCTCGGGTGAATAAAAACGGATCAAAAATGGTTAAGCACATTCACTTGCCTTTCATAAGACGGAAAATCATGTTGTTCAAATAGACAGTCATCGAGCCTCTTCCAAATAGCATCTTTCCAGGTTTAAGGATAAATTCATCCAGATATGCCACAGGATCTTTAGACAACTGCGTAAAGTAACATATAGGAAATGTTTATTACAGTGCAAAGTCAAAGAGAGAGCTCACGAGAAGAGATATTAAGTTTGTCTTTTCTTCCTCCAGGACACAAGCTTCACAACGTTGCACATTTTGCAGAAACAAAATGAACTCAAGGACACACAAAAATGTACGAGATTCAATGTGTATGAGGGACTTAAGAGGGAAAAGGTACATAAAGCAAATCTCGAGACTAGACACCCTACTGAAAAGAAACAATTTCTGATGTTGTGTTGTGGCATCAAGAACATGACAATGACGAGTAAGAGATATCGGAATGTACCTTGGCCCACATAATCTCAGGCATTGCTATAAAGACGGTCAAAATTGTACATCCTGGACGGATATAGCCTTCCAGCTCTACAGGCATGGTGGCCAACCATTGGAATATCTGCAAGTTCAATTAATCACGTGAAAATTAGTTCTTTGGGATTCTGGAAAGGGTACACATAGTATCTGAACACTAAACTGTAATATATAATTCTTGAGAGTACTTGATGACGTAGTCTCCGTGGGAACTCCGCTGGATTCCAATCGTAAAGCTTGAAAGAGATCCGACCAGTAGGGCACTACAATGAAATGTAAGATTAGTTTATAAATCACATACAAGCTCTTGTTTGATGTAAGAGTGGCCGAAGAGAACCTCACCATAGTTGAGTAAGCACTTTTGTTGTCACCACAGGAAGGTGAAAGTTCAAACTTTGTGTCATTCATTCCTTCATCTGGTTGAGCTTCACCCGAACCTGTAACAGAGACAAAGTTGTCTGCGTTGATGCTATGGGTAAAAGGTACAGACCCCTGAGCGGGGATATGCCCATCTTCAAAAATCAAGGAAGCCTCTTGTTCCGCTCTCTGGTCACTAGAGCATGTATTATCTGCTTCGAAATAATAATATGGACAATCGGAATCAGCTTGAATTTCCAAGAGAACTCAAACATTGGTTACTAGAAGAACATGCAAATTAAACGACTAAGACAAAGAAACCACATGTGCTATTCACTTATACCTTTTCCATCTTCAACATCAATAACGCTGTTTTCATTATGTGATAGCACCGGCTGTTGTTTTGCAGCAACGCCACCTTTATCTACATGTTTCCTTTTCCGTCTGTTGTTGTGACGCTCAAGCTTTCTCCGACAGCTGCGTTTTCCCTCGTCAAAGTCCGAGAGTACGTGGAACCTGCTCATATAGTTTACTCAATATAAGGATGGAAACAGCATCGAAAGGACAAACAAAAATCATAACGTTCCCGCTAATAATACTGACTAATCGACAGTTGATAAAGGTGAAACCAGTTCAGCTCAGCCTATGATGAACAAAGAGGCTCATGGAATCATTCGAACAGGATCAACAGTCTCTCCCAAGTTATCCAATTTCCTAATGATAGATTCAACAGTTCCTAATCCTATCAAACAGACAACAAAACTCAATCCAGATCTTGATAATTTCATGTTGTAAACCAACAATTGGGAACAAACCAATCCTGAACAACTCCATTCCAATACAAAAGATAATTACTGTTGTATTCGTTAAGCGATGGCAAATACGCATTTTTTTTTACAAATTTATGGATAACCCAAGTCAACCATGAGATGCATAGGAGAATAGCAAAGACAGTTCTCGCTATCAAATCCACTTCTAGATTCCGTGATAAAATCTCAAAGCAAGGATTCGTAAAATTGAAAAACGGATAAAAGAAAGAAAAAGGACATACTTTCCACACTGTTGACAGTATCTCTTATTCTCTCCGTCAAGCACAACGGAGCTGGCGTTTGCACACCGGAGGCAAACCCTATGCCTCCTATGGTACCCTTTGAGCTCGCTTATATCCGCTTCGCAACCGGGTACCTGACATCGAGCCACGCCCGACCCGCCTCGAACCCGCTTCTTCTTCGGCAGCTCAGCCTCCTCCATTTTTTGATCGAGCTCCGGACACGAGCACGGAAGCATACCTTCCAGGAAATTGGAACAAATCAACCTCGGGTCCCGCTTCCTAACCCGATCGGAACCTGAGCCCGATTCATCCGGAGACGGATACGATTCGGATTCTGCCGGAGGTTGCGTCGCAACCAGCGGCGGAGGAGGAGGAGGGGGAGTAGGAGGAAGAGGAGAGAAAGGGGTCTGATCGGAGTCGAAAGAGACGAGAAGCCGGTCGTCTGCGGCGAAGTCAAGGAGATCTCCCCAATCCCACATAGCGGAGGAATAGGTCGAAGGATCATCGTTCACCAATGCCGGAGGTTGGATATCCATCTCTGGCGCCGATGGCGATTGCGACATAGAAGACATCTGCGTCTTCAATCATAAATTCAGAGGATTTGTTTAAGGACCCATCGGTGGTTAAGGAAGTTGGTGATTTTGGTTGAAGGTTTTAGGTAAAATTGCAGAAAGTCATCAAAATCTGGGGAAATGCATTTGCAAAGCTGAGTTTTTTTGTTTTTGTTTTTATGCATAAAATATTTACGAGAAAAAATTATTCTGTATCTAAAAATAGTCTACTTTTTTAATGAAATGACTCAATGAATTGAACTATATAATAAACACAATCATGATTATTAGTTAAATCGTGCAATAAATAGTTCATTCACATATTCTTTTCTCTTTTTTTGCCAAACTTATTCACATTCTTTGTGACAAAAGACATGACTGTAATAAAATTTGACCTAAACAAATTAAAGCTTTAGAGAGGCTTAATATTCGATATTATTAGGCGATCGGTGTTCAATTTTGAGTCACAATTTTATATTACAGAGTATCATAAAAATATAGCTCTTTTGCTGAAAACTAAAATTTTTAAATTAGGAATTTGTATGGCATGTAAGATTTGGTAGGCTATTTTTTTATCAGTTTACTAGGCTGATTTCAATGCCATTAAAAAGAAACTCACATATTATAATATTATTTTCTTGGTCAACCATAATACAATACCGTTTTCGCATATACAACCGTTAATATATGTAAATTGTATAATACAAGATCATTCTTTTGAAAAAAATTGTATAATTTTATATTAATATCGTGGCAGTGTCATGGATCGGATTCAAATAATGTTGTAAAAAAAGAAATAAATTTAGAAAAAAAATACATTTACACTTTAGCAAAAAAAAAAAAAATTTGAGGTGAAGCCGTGAAGGGGAAGGAGCGTGTGTCTGGGCCAAGTAGGAGTGCTTGGGCGTGAAAGCACGCGCCTTATGGATAAAGGGAGAGAGAGTCGCGTGCAAGCTACGCGAGTCTGAGGAAACCAAAGGTTCATCCATCGTTATCGAAAACGACGTCGGAACAGTGTTACTTGGGACGTGAGCTACCCAAAGTGTGCGCATCTCTCTTTTTCCTTTTCTTTTTTCTTCTCCAATAATAACGGTAGAACTTTGGCCTCAGCTTCCGAGTCAAACACCACATAAATATTGACACGCGTCTCATCTTCCATGTGACAAACACATATCCTTTTGTACTAGCAATAATATATTCATGGTTAAATGATTAGAGGAGATGAGCCCACTTCTAGGATGCCCAGTTTGGGGGCCCAAGAATAAATGTTGACACCATGATCAATCGAAACCACCAAGTTGAAACCGAGGAAAGCAAAAGGTTCAGGTGAGATTGAGCGCTCGAGTTCGATCTCTCTACAGTCTTCAGTGACTTATTGGAGTAGAACTTGGAGTACCATTGTAAATGCTTATTTGATGATTTGACTTAATCGTTGGCTTATTGTAATACTCCAAGTTCGAGAATGCAGTGAATATTAATTCAAGACATGAGGCGTATATGTATAACAGAGAAAAGCTATCTGTATATTGCGACCAAAAACAGAGAAAAAGCTCTGTATATTACAACAATTAGGGTTTGTAACATAGGAAAACTTGCATTACAAGGCACATCACTTCTTACTATGACGGATAACTGAGGCTAGCAGCAAGCTTGGCTCCCACAATAAGCAACAATAAATTTAACAATTCCTTTTCTTTTTCCAGTGTGCACATATCATGGCATCACAGATTTTGATGTTTTAGTAAACAACAAAACCAAACACCATTTTGTGACCAATGGTCTCCTCGATTAAGACAAAGTCGTCTGCTGAAAGCGTTTGGTTTTCGAGCTTGTTTGTTACCTTTGGTGGTTAGGTTATGTGGTGGGTATGCCAGGAACTTGAGGAACGGCAGGTTTAGGCTGCTTGATCTTCTCCACGAGCACTGCTTGAGTCGTGAGAACAATGCCGGCAACAGAAACCGCGTTTTGAAGGGCAAATCTTGAAACCCGGCAAGGATCTGCGATTCCAGCGTTTAGAAGATCCTCATATTCTCCACACATTGCGTTGTAACCGCTTCTCCATTCGAGTTCTCTGGTTTTCTCCACCACAACTGATCCATCAACCCCGGCATTGGTTGCTATGGCCATCGCAGGTGCCGTGAGCGCCTGCAGAGAAAGAAAGAAAGTGATTCCAACTTTTGAAGGTTTTTTTCAAAAACAAAAACAGGTTTTATTTTGCCATTCAAGTTTTCATACCGTTGCTACAATATCTGCACCTATTTCCTCGTATGAATCTTCCATTAGATCCTTCTTGATTCTAGGGATCTCATCTAAAAGATGGATATACGCCGCACCACCACCTGGTACTATACCTTCTCTCATGGCTGCAAACGTTGCGTTCTTTGCGTCTTCTATTCTAAGTTTTCTGTCCTCAAGCTCTGTTTCAGTGTGACCTCCTACCTGAAATGACACCGAGTTAAGCTGATGTTTTCAAAGAGGACTCATAAGATATATCAATAATTGAAACAGTGTTTTTGTGTGTCCAAACTTAGGTAAATATTAAATTCGGATGAAAGACCACGTTGTTGCAGCAATTTAGAGCATTGTAACAATCGGACCTTTATTACAGCCACGCCTCCTGTGAGCTTAGCAATTCTCTCTGAGATTTTTCTTGAAAGATATGAATTATCTGTCTCAGCTAGATCCTTTTTCATCTGAGCAATTCTCGCCTGAATCTCCGGTTTAGTTGAAGGGTCTGCTACTATCGTTGTTGACTTAGCTGTAACAACTACTCTCCGAGCAACACCCAGCTGATCTGAAGTTGCGGCCATGAGACTCATGCCTAAATCTCCGGAAAGATAATCAGCTCCTGTTTTTATATCATTTGTCATGTCAGCAACTGAAAAATTGCTGGTAAATGGAAAGAACACATGATTGAGAAAAATAAAAAAACCTGTCATGAGTGCAATGTCTTGTAGCAAAGCCTTTTTCCCATCCAACATTCCAGGACATTTTACAACAGCAACATTGATCAAACCTTGCTTCTTATTCACCACCAGTATCTCAAGCACCTCCGCAGAGATATCTTCCGCAATTATAAGCAGCGGAACACTCAGCTGTGAAGTTTTCTCCAGTAGAGGAACTAGCTCTTTGGCTGTGGTGATTTTCTGATCCGTCACAAGGATTTTAGCTTTTTCGAATTCCACAGTAGATTTCTCCTGGTTTGTGATGAAATGAGGCGACATGTATCCCTTGTCAAACTGTACCAAAAGAAATATCCCTCGTGAATCGCTCGCAGACACTCAATGGTTTGACAATCTTATAAAAAAATGGTAAATGTGGAAAACATCCAATATACTAACCTTCATTCCTTCCTCAACTATAACAGACGTTTCTGATGAGGAAGATGATTCAATAGAGATAACACCATCGGGGCCAATCTTTTCCACAGTTTCAGCAATCAAGTTCCCCACGAAGTCATCGTTGCCAGCAGAGATTGAAGCAACGGCTACACAACACAAGAACCCCTTTTTAGAAATTATATCAAACTAAGAGAGGAGGATGTGGATCAAAACTTAGCTATGGTGATAACTAGTAATTAACCTTTCACGTCATTCTTCCCCTTTACAGGAACACTCCTCGCATTCAGTACTCTGACCAACTCTTTCACAGTCTTGTTCATCCCATTCTTCACGGAAACAGCATTAGCTCCAAATGCAATTGCCAAAGATCCGGCTTTGATCATTTCTCTAGCCAATATGATCGCAGTCGTTGTCCCATCACCGGCTGAGTCATTCATTTTAATCGCGACCTGTACAAGAACATAGAATTTGCAAGTTCCAGGTTACTAATCTATATTCGTTTTTTTTTCGAGCTCGAAACAGTGAACTAACGAGGAGAAGGGAATCATATAGCCACCATGGATGAATAACCTCTTGGATTAGTGTTGCTCCAGCATTCTCAATCGTGTCAGGGAGCTCGATGGATTTAGCAATGGTGACACCATCGTTAATCACTTTGATTGTATCTGCTTCAGCCAGCACTACATTACGCCCTGCATCATTTCCACATTAGAAAATGATTTCAAGAAAAAAAGTCGATTTAGCCACACAATCCAATCCAAAGAAACTGTATATTTTTCAATTCCACTAAGAGTTTCCGAATCTAAAATTCAAATTTTCTAAGTTTCTATGTTATAAGGATCTAACCAAATTCGCAACAAAGCAATCATCTCACCTCGAGGCCCCAAGGTGCCGGAAACAGCATCAGCTAATTTATCGATACCGGCTTGTAGTGCCTCTCTGCTATCTTTTCCGTAGAGTATCCTCTTCGCTCCTGCCCTCACCACCGAGAATTTCCTCGGAAGCTGAGGTTTCTTCACCTGACCACTACGGCTCTACAAGAGCGAGAGAACTTTATTATCTGTCAACATAAGAAGACGGGGGAATAAATTGGGCCACAAGAAGAATCAAAACTCACCGGGTAAATAATTGCCGGCGAGAAGGACGACGGTGAAACGGCGAACATTTCGTCTCTTCCAAAGAAGCCAGGGAGGTTTTTCCAAAGGGTTTTAATTGTTGTTCGTGTAGAATGAGCGAGTTTTTTTGCAAATTCGCTGAGCCGGACAAGTGACGAGTCCATTTTTAAAGATACACCCGAAATGTGATTAGTTTGCTTTGGAGAATTGGCAAAATGCCTTATTTAATTCTTAAATTTAAAAATTACACTGTTATTTTTTTTTTCCAAAATTACATTAATTTATATTTTACAAAACCAAATAAGATTTTTTGATCTGGATTAAAATAGATATTACATATTTAAATAAATGAAAAAAATAAAATTTGAAATTATTAATATTAATTTATTTGAAAAAATTTTAATTCGAAATTATTACTATTAACATTAATTTATTTGAGACAATTAGAATTCGAAATTATCAATTAAAATATTTGAAAATTTATCTCTAACAAAAAATAGTTTACTAGTGTATTATTTAAATGCTTTTTAACTAAAACTATTTTGGTCCATCATAAAGTTTCTAGGAGTTAGATTTAAATAAAACTTAGTAAACAGTGATGATTCAAATTCCAAAATCACATGTCTTCATTCTTATATTCAATTTTATATATTTATTTATACTGTTAATTAAAATATTAAAGGTACTACCAATTCCCATTTTTAATTAGACTAATTTACATATTTCATTAAAGTATAGTTGTAAAACTGAATAATGGTGTAGTTTTTAAAATACAATCTCCTTTATTTTTTCAAATTTTCTCTAGTTTGATAGTGAGACCATAGTAGTTGAGAATATAACCAATTCTACATCAGCCAAAACTGTCAAAGAATTGAGAATCAAGAGAAGATATTTTACATCAGGAAATAAGCTAAAAGCCTAAGAAATTGAATTGGTAAGCAAATAAACGAATTTGAAAGCCATTTGCATTTAAGTTAAACAGAGGAAACCAATTGAAATGTTGGTTTTGGATTGTAATGATCATAATAAACTAATGATGAACTATAAAACTCAGAAATGCTAGCCAAACAAGTTTGAATAAAACTCTAAATATTTAAGGTATTGTTATATCTTCATTATTAATCTTTTTGAAGTATTTTGTTTTACGGTGATGTTGTTATAAAAAAAATTGCTACTGAATATAATATCATCTAGGAAAACTGAAATACCCTATGAATATGTATTAGAGAGTTTATTACGTATATCCTACATTGTTATTTCAGTTTTGGCTCAAAAGGTTTTTTCAAAAGCAAATTAATACTAAATGTAGTATTTTTGGGGAAGCTGAAAAACCTACAATTTGAATTAGAATGTATTGGAGAGTTTACTAATGATCTCTACACCCTATATGATGTAGAGCATTTATCCTCTTGTTGCTGTTGAGGAGTTTGTACCATGGTTTAAGCGTATCAAAGGAAATATTGAGACATAAAGCTGGTATGGTTTTCTACTATTGTAAGATTGCTCAAGTTTATAGAGAGTGAACAAATAACTTTAAAATGTGTCGTTAGCTTTCTTTCGTGGAGTCTATTCAAGAGTGTGGCATGCTTACAATCTTGATGAGGTTCATTTGGACTGGTTAGCCCTCATTGAATTTCTTTTCTGGTCAATATTGCATTGCATTTGGATCTCCTTCTATGTTGTCATAAAATCACACCACTTATGAAAGATGTTTTTGTGAAGGTATACTCCTAGTTACGGTGATGTATTCCTATCCCTCAGGAACATTGGCATGCTTGATCATTTTTTATCACAGATTCTTTTTTTGATGTAGTCTATTGTTGTTTTGTCTCCAAAAATTATCGTTGATGATTGTGTCTTTCAGCGTTTGCCATTTTAATCCTGAGTATGTACTTCAAGGTAAGGAGTATGTTTTTATCTCCAACTTCGACAACTTGGGTGCTGTGGTTGACTTAAGTATATCTCCTTCCTCTTTGATTGCTTTTGTTTTAATCAAAACAGTAAAATTGACTAATTTTTGGTTGTCTTTATTTTGCTTTAGAAATCTTGGTTCACATGGATTTCGTTGGAAAAGAGTTTTGTATGGAGGTCACTCCCAAAACCTTTGCTGATGTAAATGGAGGAACTCTCATCTCTTATTAAGGAAAACTAAAGGTGAAATTTCTCTTATTTTTGCACAAAAAAAGAAAAAAAAAAATTTCTCTCATTATTCTTTAACATGGCACTTTCAAATCATAGGTTATCCAGGCTCTTTATTAAATCATTATCTTATATCAAATTTATTTTTCTTATGCTATTGGAGACTAAAAACAGTTTTATTGACCTATAAACTTACTTTTGTGTTGTGTATCTCAGTTTTTGGAAATTGCTCAGGTTCCTGATGAACACATAGCGACTTTTGATGGTTTGAATAGGTTCAACAAAAACAACCTGTAAGTATTTTCCTTAAAAACATGGAAGATAACATTTGGGTTAACTTCAACTCCAAAAGGTTTAACTTTTTCTTAAACTTTTTTTTATAGGTGGGTTAACTTGAATGCCATCAGAAGGCTTTTGGAATCTGGTGATTTGAAATTAGAGATCATCCCCAAACTGGAGAAAATTGATGGAGAGGAAGTTCTTCAACTGGAAACACTTATAGTTAACACATATATTAGTATATAGATGTGAACAGTATTTTCCTTTTTTATTTTAAAAATAGTGTTTTGACATATATTTTATAATTTGAAGTTAATCTTATCTATTTTTGTTTAAATCTTCCTTTTCTTAATTTGAAACATATTCTTAAGTGTTATAGTCTTTTAATTACGGCTCGATCCGTTGGGAAAGAGCAAATAAGCAAGAATTTTAGGGCTTGGGAGTGGAGACAACGATGAGGAGACGCGTGAAGAAGACGAAATCGAAGGGGAGAAACAAGTATAGCTGTGATGAAATCCCTGAGGACTTGGTGATGGAGATCATTGGGAGGTTGCCTGCGAAAACGGTAGCTAGGTTGCTTCTAGTATCCAAGTCATGGGCAAGGATCATCCGCACTCGAGACTTCATCGCATCTTTCCCGTTTGGGTCTCGTTCGTCGCAGCCTCGTCTCCTAGTCGCTTACGTTGATATGCATGAAGGGATGAAAAGCCAAGATTGGGACTGCTGCTTCTTCTCATCGTCACCATCAACGTCTCTTCTATCACGTGTGGCCCATTCGTTCCCGGCAGATGGGTCTATAGATATAAAGAATACAGATCTAAAGAAGAAGTACTTTGGATATAATCCTCATCCGTGCTTTCACCACGTTAATGAATTGATAAGCCTTTGGTATAGTCAGGATCAAGTCATATGCAACCCAAGCACCGGTCAATCCACTATTCTACCTTAAACCGGTCGCCAAAAGCAGCTTCCTAGGGTATGATCCGGTTAATGATGAATACAAAGTATTATGCATGACGAAAGAGCTTGATGGGCGTTGCGGTCCATGTCAACAATATCAAGTATTCACATTGGGGGATAAGACAGAATCATGGAGAATGATAGATTCTAGCATTCCTCACATTCCTATATCCAACGGCCTGTGTATAGATGGAGCTGTGTACTATGTTGCTTCCCTGGGAGTATGAAAAAGAGCTTAATGAGATTTGATTTGAGGTCTGAAAAGTTGCATCATTTTACTAGTTTATCCAGAGACTTTCAAGCTTCTGATCTCACTTTGATAAACTACGAGGGGAAAATAGCCATACCCTTCCGGAGTCAGACTGAAGATGTATGTACGTTTGATGTTTGGGTTATGGATCAGGATGCTGAAATACATGAATGGTCCAAGAAAACAACCTTCAGTATCGAAGGTCCGTGGAATTGTATACACCTGCGCCTCACAGGCATTACTCGGACGGGTGAGTTTATTCTTAAAGCACAAGAGATTGATATCAACTCTCTAAATGGTGCTCTTGAGCGTGTTTGGTTCCATTACAATCACAAGACGAATAGTTTAAGAAAGATTGAGGTTGCTTTGAACTCATACTATGATGATGAGTGTCTTTGTCGTCGTCCACCGAGAGGAGTTGTTTTTGCGGATTACGTGGAGAGTGTTAGGTGTTTGTAGGAGGGACAGTTCATGATATCTGATCACAGATATATACTCTTTCTTCTTGTGCTGTGTTTTTTCTTTTTCCCTCCAAAGACGATTAATGGATAATGTTTTTTTCTTTTACTCATGAAACTTGTGTCTCAATAAAAACTAAAAATCTTACCTTGTACCTTAATTTATAATCTGAGACATAATAAACTCTCTCTCTCTCTCTCTCTCTCTCTCTCTCATCAATAGGACACGGACGGGAGAAACAACTATAGCTTTGATGAAATCCCTGTGGACAAAGCGATGGAGATCATTGGGAGATTGCCTGTGAAAACCGTAGCTAGGTTGCTTCTAGTAATCAAGTCATGGGCAAGAATCATCCGCAGTCGAGAGTTGTTCGCATCTTTCCCGTTCAGGTCTTATAAACACTTAGTTAGTGTCAACTGTCAATTATGATAAAAGATAAAACAGATTATTCCTCGGGAAATCCATTCTGTGCCTGATTAAAGAAGATGAAACAACAAAAACTGAGTCATTTTGGTTGTCTTTGAGAAATCGCTACAAAAGCATTTCAGAGGGGAAAAAATGGGATGACAACGAAAAAGAGAGTAAAAGCTCATTCAAAAATGAACAATTTGCTTTTATTAGGAGATACAGCTTAACAAATAACTTGCGATTCTCATCATTTCAAGGGACACACTTTCTCGAAGGCTTCCTGCTCTTTCCTACACAGATCAAACTCGTTCGTGTAGTAATACATACACCCAACATAATCATCCATCTCCTTTTGGCACTTCTGGTGAAGATCCTTCAGCCTGCAACATTTTTATCAAATCCAAAATCATTATTGCTCTACTACAGTTTGAGATGCAGACTGATGGGTTCAAAATTTTTATGGGTTTTGGTATTGTTAGAGCATTGTATCATCGTATAAGAGTAAACAACTTGTAAACATCAAAACTAGGTCTTAGACCAACACTCCAAGGGAAGCAAATGGCTTTTTAGTTAACGAAAAAACCATGAAAACTTTCGAACAACAGAAGCATGGTATGAATCCCTATACTAGACCCAAGATGTGAGAGCGATAATATACAAAAGCAACCCAATTTCTACAGACATCGTACAGTACTATGTCTCAGTGTAACAGATTGTTATTTGTTACTCAATGCACGGTACAGATAGCTCTTTCAGATTCCAAACCATATACAAACATTGACTAGTTGATATTTCTCGTGATCAGAACTACTTGAACTCTTATGGAAAAAGATTTGATAGCTCATCTAGGTCAAACTACAACTACTTTTTACACTTTCTTATGATAGTGCCAAAGATTAGCGAAAAGCCTGTTGGAAAGACACTCAACGAAATTGGCACAGCTAAGTTCATATACCTTTGCTCAATTAGTGAAGCATACAGTTTTGCAATGAAAAATGAATCAATCCCTATAGTTCCTAAGTAGAGTCTATAATTAGACTTAGAGTCATAAATCAACCATCTGATACTCACTATCATATTCGTCAAAATAAACTCAAGTCGTCCTAAACACAATCGAACCAAAGAAAGTCAAAACTAATAAACTTGCAAAGAGATATAACCAAAAGAAAAATTGAGCTAAGATACGTACAAGCCAAGCACGCAGCGAGTGACGTCACGACCCTTGTCGAGGCATTTCTCGGGGTTTGGATCATTCTTCTTGCATTTGAGGAACGCGACGTTCTCCGGCATACATCTCATACCTATATGCTTCGCCGACGCCGTCAACACCGCAGAAGTAGGGATCGGGTTCCCTGTCGCGTCCACCGCACTCGACATAGCTCACAAATTCGAAATCCCTAGCGAAATCCCAATGGAGAAGGTAAATATTAATCCAATCTAATCGCAAATCGCCAAAAGAGAAAAGCAGAAACAGTACGCAAAATGAAAATCGGAAATCAAAGAATCCACACTACAAGCTCACGGTATGATATCGAACGAAGGAGCAGACAGCGAACATCATAATACCTTTTCAACGGATCGATTTGGATCTTCTTCTCCACTGAGTACAAACGGAACAAGAGAATGAGAGAGAGAGAGAAAGGGAGATAGAAAGAACAGAACCAGGTGAGTAGCTGAGAGAACAATGGGCTACATTGGGCCTAATAAAAGCTTATTGTAATTTACTGGGCCGAATGATGAAAATTTAGTGTCCCTTTCTTTAAAGGTTTCTATGTTTTTTTTTTACTCACTGTTTCTTCATCTTCTCACTCCCGATTCATCTCCGCCGTCGTATAGCCTCCGTCTCGTCGCCCATATCGGTAAATCAGCTCTGTGTTATTTCTTCTTTCTCTTTTCGTCGAAGATTCAGGAAATTATTCGGTGAATTTTTAATGTTTCATTTTGTGATTCGCGCAAGCTCCTTTGTTAGTTTCTTGTTCATTTCTTCGATGGATTGGATTTGTTAAAAGAAAGTGTTAGGATCGTTTTGTCAAATCACCGGAAATTTTTCGACTTCATTGAAAGCAAATGATTCTCAGTTGAAACGAGAATTTCCCTACCCAGTTTTATTGATCTGCTTTAAAAATCTTTTTAAAAAATGTGAATATGATTTGAGGAAAGGTTCGTCATTGCACTTTTGCTCTTTACGCTTTGAGGTGGCATGATGCAAATACTGAAATTGAGACTGAAACTGAGATTTGATCTTTTGTCTGGTCTAGTTGTGTTGAAGTGAGAAAATGGGGGACAAGAGAAAGAAGACGTTCATGTTCATCCGTCTTGTCTCAGCTGCTGGAACTGGATTCTTCTATGTCAAGAGGAAGAGTAGCAAGGGCCTTCTCGAGAAGCTTGAGTTCCGCAAGTACGACCCTCGAGTCAACCGCCATGTCCTCTTCACTGAGCAGAAGATGAAGTGACTCAATCTCCATTTTTCTTTCTTTGTGTGTGTTTCGTTACATTTGAAGAACCAATAACAAATCTCTGCAAAAGTAGTTTACTTATCAATCAAAGAACTTCTCTAGTTGAGTAAGGAGGGTTTAGAGTTTGTAAGCTTCAGTTTGAGGAATTCTTTAAACGCAAAAAAATTTGAGTAGACCTTAGATCGTAGTTTACAACATTATGCGAACCATTCATTGTTAAACAATACATTAATTAGCAAGGGTCTTCAAAAAGCTTAAGACTATAATAATCCAAAAATTCAACAATGCGTTTTGTGTTAGTATCTTGAAGTCAAAGAATGACAATCTGACACAAACTGGAGCGTCTTGGAGATTCAAAGAGCTGTTTCAAGAAACCCGGCGTGTCGTTTTTCGGACAAGACTGGTTCAAACGCAGAACAAGCTTCTGGAGTGTTGTTGAGTTCTCTAGCAAGTATCTAACCAGTTCCACTTCGGTTGCTTTATCCGTGATGGGGCTTTTGATATCAACAGATATAAGGGACGATACCAGACAGTGAGGTAGCACATTCAAAAGTCCACTTTCCCCCTCCGTAACCACAGAATCACCAACCAATTCCTGTAAATCACCAAACAATGAGGAGATTGAGTGGATCAAAAGTTAATAAGAATCTGTGTGTAAAACTAACAAAAGTCGCAGGCAAAACCATTACCAAGGTGAGGTGTCTCAGATTCGGGCACATCTCAAGAATGACAGGCAACATCTGTGGAGAAGAGTTTGAGGACATAGAAGCACGCAAACGAGTCAAGACACGAAATTTGAATCGTGGGTTCATTGCCCGCGAATGATGATAGATGCTCTGCCAGATAGAGTAATAAACTTAACATATAAGTAGATTTAGTAAAAACCTGTAATGGAAAAGTTTAAAGATGACCATGCGTGTAGTGTATAATTACCTCAAGATTCTTGCTTGAGATGGTCATATCTCTGACGTTTGAAACAAAGCTTAGAAATTCACAAACGTTCTCTCTCTCCTTCAAGTTCAACACACCAGTAGCACCACCTGTCGCACCAAACACCACGTCAATATCAACCTTGAGTGATTCACTCGTGCTGACTAACTCGAAGCTTTTAAATTGGTAATCGCTGAGACTCAGGTACTCGAGCCTCGGAGCATCGATCACAACTGCATCTCCACCAGAACGTTTCAGAGTGAGGCTCTTTAGTGAAGTAGAGCGGATGCGTAAAACCTTTACACCACCATATCTTGGCTGGCTCACTTTTAAATCCTCAAGAACCGGAGAGCATGAGATTAGTGCCTCTGCAGCCTCACTGCTGGGGAATCTAACCATTCCAAGTGCATAATCTTGAGATGAGGTAAGGAGCAAGACTCGAAATCACTCAGAACTATGAAATCGAGTTTCAAGCTAACCAATGTGTCACGCATTGCAAGGATGAAAGGCATCTCAATGGTATAATATCCGTAGCTGTAGCTAACTTCGAAATGTTGAATCTTCTTACACTTGGCCACTCTCATCAGACATGCATCGGTTGTAGAAGTCACAAAGAGATCGTATTCACCGTTTAGCTTGAATCCACGCAAGTAGGACTCGCCTCGGAAATTCAGAAACTTATCGATGAAACTCAAACACGTATCGCCCCGTGAGAAGTCGGATTTTCCCAAATCTAACCTAGGAACCCATCGCCAGAGATCTTTCCATCTAGAGGACAAAACACTTGTTCTGACAGAATCCTTTGTCGTGAGAAAGCTTAGTATATGACATTGCAGCGATTCAGGCAATATGCTTATCTTGTCTTCACCACTTGTGCCGCTTCGTCCTTGCATCATAGCTTTTTGTTTCAATTCTTTGGATTTTCAGATATAAAAACGACCTGAAAAATTCAAATGACCAGACACGAATATCATCACAATTTACAAGTTGACAGATATCCTGATTTTTCTCGAAAATTTAAAAATTTGAGGCTCGACTCGATCGTTTAAAACTAAGAAAAATTGCAGCTATATAGATAAAGCATATATATGGTTCAGTGACGGATACTATGGCCGCAACTAAAGAACCGGCCGGAGAATAGAGTAAAGTAGAAAATCATGCAAAGTAACTCACCGGCGATCGAATATTCCGGCGGAGATGAAACCCTCGTCTGATCGCGTGCGATTAATTCCTATTGAGTAAAAAAATAATATGAATACGTTTTTAATCAATTTAATAACGCTACAAAATCCTATATACATTATAAACCCACTGGGCCTGGTCAAAGAACTAATGGCTTAGTGGGTTTGTGTACATAAGAAGTAGTGGATTTTTAATTGATTTGATGGTATTGCTATTGGTTTGGTTAAAAGTTGAAACGTAAAAGGATATCCTGATTTTTACAAATCTACTACATTATCTAATGGCATCCTTATTACCTAAGCGGAGTCCATAAAATTAGACGCTACAACATGCACTGTTAACATCTTCCAAGTGCATAATCTCGAGCTTAAGGTAAGGAAATGGGCCCAAAATCATTCGACCAAACCAAATGGAGCCTTAAGCCATATACCAAAAGAAAAGCATAGTTGCAACATTGGACAAAATTGAAATATAGAGCAAAGCAAAAAGGAAAAGGAAGCCAAGAGAGCCGAGCTGAAGGCTGAACCAACTTAGATCCATCTCGAACAATGTGTGCTTGAGGCTGAACCGAGGCTTGGCCGGTTGACATCTGGTGCTATCGCTGATGAAAACTTCTTTAATCCAACAAGCTTTAGAACCTATTGGGTTTTACATAAACATACCCTTCAGGCCACGGATTCGGAGTTGGAACCACATCAAGAACTTCAAACTGACACAAACTGGAGAGTCTCGGAGATTCAGTGAGTTGTTCCAAGACACCAGGCTCGTATGTCTTTCCAGAAGACTGATTCAAACGTAGAACGAGCTTCTTGAGCGTTGACGATTCCGTCAGAAAGAAATTAACCAAGTCCAGTTCAGTTTCTAACTCCGTGATAGAGCTTTCCATTTCAACAAATTCGAGGGACGATCCCAAACAATAGGGCACCAGCGGCATAGTCCACCGTTCAGGTATCACTGCCACTGGATAATCACTAATCAATTCCTGCAAACATAAACGGACAGAATTCGATCAAGTAAAAAAACTCTTCCTAGGTAAAAAGAACTTGCAAAGTTAAAAAGCAAACTATTATTACCACGGTCAAGTGTTTCAGGTTGGGGCAGCTGTCAAGAACTATTGGCAACAGTTCATAAGAGGCGTTTGTGCACATAGCAGCACGCAAACGGGTCAAGCCATGAAACATGGGCAGTGGGTCCATGTCCCTGGAACCATAGATTAACTGGTAATCAAAGAGAAGAAGAACACCACCAAGTGAGAACAACAATGATAATGGGGGAAAGTTTAGAGCTTTTTCATCAGTTTTTTACATACCTTAAGAGTTCTCCACGAGATGGTCATGTCTCCAACACGTGAAAAATTGCTGAGAAAATTATAGAAGACAGTTCTCTCCGACAAGTAATCAAGGATCACCTCAAAGTCGACATCAATATCAGCCTTGACAGAGTCACCCATACTGATTATCTTGAAGCTTCTGAACTGGTAATCTATGAGGCTCAGATACTCGAGCCTCGGAGTATCCATCACAACCGAGTGTCCGCATCTTATGGAATAAACGGGCTCTGCCCGCTTTAGAGTGAAGCTCTTTAGCGACTGTGAGCAGACGCGTAGATGTACAACGAAATCATATTTATGGAGGCTTATCTTTAAATCTTCAAGAACCGGCGAGCACCCGATCAGCGCCTCTGCAGCCGCATCGCTGGGAAGTATAACGTCTTCCAAGTACATGATCTTGAGACAAGGTAAGGAAAGAGACTCGAATTCATTCAGCCTTACGTGATGGAGCTTCAAGCATACCAACGCCTCACACACAGAAAGGGTTAAGTGTGTCTCGTTGTCATTAACGCCCCAATCTCGAAGCCGACTCTCGACTTGGAAACGTTGAATCTTGCGCTTATCCATTTTGCCGAGGCACGGCCCATAGAGAGAAGCGTCGTTTGCAAAGTTTGACTCTTTTTGGTCGATGCTTAGCTTGAATTCGCGCAGGTAGGATTTGCTCTGGAAGTTCAGAAACTTGTCGATGAAATCCACACACGCTTTGTCGTTTGGAAATCGATGCTGTCTATAGCTAATGCAGGAACCCATTTCCAGAGATGTCTCCATCTAGAGGACAAAACACTTGTCCAAACAGCTCGGTCAGTCGTGAGGAAGCTAAGTATATGACACAGCAGCGGGTCGGGTAATAAGCTTATCCTATCTTCCCCTCTGATAATTCGGTCTTCCTCTCGAACTGGATTAGACAACTCAGAATAGAGACCCGACCTGAAATTTCCAAAACATGATACAGTTATCATAATCGGATAGCAACATAAACCCTAAGTTTCGTAATGAGCTTACTTAGGAAAGCAATTCCTCGAAATCTAACTACGAAATTGCAATTACATGATTTCATCAGAAGAAAATGAGATTCGAAAACGCATACGAAGAAGGGGAAAGATCAAAGAACAACTTACCGCTTATAAAACTTATGGAGACTAACCATTGAACCTCTCTTATGTTCTTCGATTTATCGAGCAAATCGTTTCCCTAAAATGTTAGGTTTTCTGAAACTTCACTGTTCGTCGTCATCTCCCTAACCATTGAACGAACCTCTCTCATGTTTTTTTTCCCTCTCTCCAGCTCACAGAAATTTAGTGTACCGTTTATAATGGGCCTTATCAAGACTTAGACCGGGTCGGCCCAATTGATATTACGGGCCTGAATTCTATTTTTTGCAGCTCGTATACTGTCATTTGTGTTTGGCAAGTGATAGTGATGATGACTAATGACGATTATGCGTGGAAAATGTTTCCTCTCGCAAACTTTGCCAAAAAAAAAAAAAAAAAAAACCAAACCAATTCAATTGTGTGAAACGCATCTACGTATTTAAGTAGATCTGTATCATAAGCAAACTCTTATTTGAATCATTATCATAAGCAAAACAAATGTAGAAAGTTAAGGAAGCTTGGGTGAATTTGACTAATTTTACTTTGAAAGTTTTAACTCAATTAAGCAGGTAATTGAAGAACAGTAAATGCTGGATTCTGATGCATGCATAGCTGCTAGCTGCATACACACACGATGACACAACACAAGTAAAGTCCTTTCAGTCCTCGACTTAGTCATTTAGCTAATGAATTACCAAAAAAAAAAAAGAGAAAAAGGACAAATTTTTCAATTCTTTAGATTGCTTCTCTCGCTGGCTCAGAATTTATGTCGACGGGAATTGATTTGGTATAATAAAATCTCTTGAAAAATTTGTTCGGTTTTGATTAGTTTCGATTACGATGCAAGAATCCGCAATACAACCTCCCAGAAACTGCGTCATCGCTAAAGATTCACCATCTTCTTCGTCTTCCTCTTCTTCTTCTTCTCAGGTATTCGAAATCCCACTTTTGTATTTTCGTTTATGCTAGTTTACTCGAACGAAACCTTGATTTCAGAATCGCTAAAAACTAGCTGGGTTTTACAGTTTCTTGCTGAACTGGTTTGATGAGTTTCAATTTGTGAGAAATCTGTTAGACAAAGTCTTTAATTTGGTAGAAAGATTATTTATTATCAGCCTAAAAAGAATCTGATCAATCAGGTTAAAGAACAGTCTATTATTGAAGAAGATGTCTCCAGATCTCAACCAAGTGGAAGCCAATCAGATGTTTCGATCCAAATACCTCCAAGACCTTCGCCGAGTGTAGGAATCTTGCGAAATTTGAGCCTGAAAAGGAAAGCTTCTCTGCCCAACTACGAGAGGAGATTGCTACTAAGTCCCAGCATTACAGAAACCACTGAGAAGCCTCTTGTTACAAGCTCGATTACTTCACCTTATTGGAAAAGATGTTTGTCACTTCCTTCTACGAATGCTGCTAAACTGTCTCTGGTTATATCTACACCGCCTGTTTCAGCTGTGGTGCATAGCGAACAAACTAGATCCAATGCGAGTGTTTTTACAATCTTATTTTTCAAAAAGCTTTGAATTTTCTTCAAGGAACTTCCTTTCAAGTGTAAGATTGGATTTTTTGTTTTGTTTGGGTGCAGAATGATGGTGTTCATCCATCGGTTTCAAGATCCTTGTCCATGCCGGGGAGAAACAAAGTGATTGTACGAGCTGTCTCTTTTAACAACAACAAAGACCACATTTCGAGTGAAGCAAGTGGCGGTATGTGATGATTTCCCCTGACATTTTTGAGCTCTTTTCGTCTTTTCCGATGAGTGTTGGATGTTGATATGAGGAATAGATTGATTCACGAGAAGCATTATCAGTTGAAAAAAATGTGATTTTTGATCAAAGACACAGCGAAGTTGACAACCATTTGTTCCTTCTTTCTTGTGTTTTCTCACTAGCAGATCAAATCACTCCGGTTCCTGCGGAAGAAACCGAAGAAGAAATCCCTGAAGAAGAAGCGGTGTGCAGGATTTGTCTTGATGTGTGCGAAGAAGGCAACACACTGAAAATGGAATGCAGTTGCAAAGGTGACCTCAGACTCGTTCATGAGCACTGTGCCATCAAGTGGTTTAGTACAAAGGGAACTCGAATCTGCGATGTTTGCAGACAAGAAGTCCGAAACTTGCCAGTGATTTTGCTTCGTGTCCCAACCATTAATCAACTTACCAGTAGGCGGGAACTCACTCAACAGAATCCACAGCCACAGACCATTAGGTAAATCAGAACTCTTTCAAAAATTTATCTTATCCTTTTGAAGAACACTAACAATTGAAGATCGATTAAATGGTGCAGTGTCGGGCAAGAGTTTGTAGTGCTTGTACTCATTAGCACAATCTGCTACTTCTTCTTCCTTGAACATTTACTGGTAATGCTTATTTTCTTCCGCCGAGTTGTTTGAAAACATTACAAAGATCTTATCTTTCATAACAACGATAAAACATATCATGACAAGGGTTCTTGTATGTTCTGTAGATTCGTGACTTGAATTCACAGGCTATCTTTGTCGCAGCGCCATTTTCATTCACCTTAGCTCTCTTAGCCTCAACTTTTGCCGTCATCCTCGGTAAATTACCGCTCCCTAAAGAATTTCTCAAGTCCTTATACATCCCTGACACAATCATGCAAATTGTTAATTGTTATTATCCCAAAACTTGCAGCTATCAGAGAATACATATGGACATACGCAGCTCTTGAGTTTGCACTAGTGGCCTTGCTCGTTCATCTGTTATATGCTACAGTAAGTAATACTAAACCATGTGTTTAAAGCTTTGAGATACTTAAAACACCCTAATCTCAGACACACACTTGGAGAAAGTTCTCATGGAAAGATCTTTGTTTCAGTTTGGTGTGCCGGTTATCTACTCAATGCTTTTCGCTGGGATTCTGGGTTTCGGGATGGCAATGTGCTTAAACTTGCTGTGCATTTGCTATTCCTCTCGGCTTGTGCGGGTTCCACAGAACCAGAACTTAGTATAAAAAAAGTCTCTTCTTTTCTAGTTTCATCTGTTCTTATTCAAAGCTTGTATATGATAAGGGAAAATTGCTGAGTAGATAGATCCATCTGAAACAGTAAGACCTGTAGATAATATGGGTTCTTTGTAAGTTTTGTATGAAGGGACAAAATTTTTGTGAAATTCAAGTAAAAGAGCTGAATGATATTACATTTTATGTGAATGAGGTGTTGTCAAAAATATAAAGAATAAGATCACAGTATTACTTCATTAATATGTCACGGCCCAAAAATATGTATAAAACAGGGGCGTTCCGAGAATCGAACTCGGGACCTCTCGCACCCAAAGCGAGAATCATACCACTAGACCAAACGCCCTTGATATTTCATTATAGCATTATTACGTAACTATACTTCATTACCCCAATTTCATTGTTCACTCCCGTGAATGTAAAACGATTAAACGACCACCATATATAAAGATGATAGAAACTTAACACTTTGACAGTGATGCTGTCTTACAAAAGCGAGAACAAAACAGAGAGCAAAAAGGACAAATAAGAGAAAAGGGGTTTGATGCTAGTTAACGTCTGAATCTAAAACAGAAAACTACATAAGTGATAAGTCCATTACTACTACTACTAAACAAACCCCCACTACCAGAATTAGCCTAAGATCTGCGCAAGTTACGGGACAATGCAGATGAGTCGAGCTCAACACAGCCTCGTAGAACTCCTTCTCTTTCTCCGGTGAGCCTGAATGCGGGAACATAATGAGAGAAACTCAGCAGGTCACACCTGGGGATCGTCTTCTTCACGTTGACGCCTCCTTCCACTTGTTCCTTGAAGACCGAAGTAAACCCGTCTACCCGTTCCAACATCATAACCTCGATGTCGCTCTCGCTGTCGTCAAGAACTTCAACAACCTCGTACTCACACTTCCTCAAGCTTCCCACCTTCATGCCTTCACTCCAGTTCTTGTACATTGCCCAAATCTCACCCGTCCTTGGGAGGATAGTGTACTTGGTTTTACTCGTACCCGCTTGTGCCTTTATCTGATGTGAAAAACCAATCACCTTAGTGAGTGTCTCTCCCCTGCCTTCCTTCAAGGTGAAATTTCCACAACTGACCGGAATTCTCTTGTCCCGCCACTGTGTAACATTCCCAGGAAGAGATTCAAGCTCTAGACGGTTTATCTCCATTTTAAATACTGGTTTCCATGATATTTTCTGAATATTGGCGTAGTACTTGGGCAAGCCATCCTCTTCACTGCTCAGTGACCATATCTGGCCATGTGCGAACTTTCCCTCTGATCTTTCAGCGCTGAAGTCATGGAACTGGAAACTAGGAATGACGACACAGTCTGGCTCTGATGTAGGCGGAGAAGGATGACGGGCTTTGGGAGCTTCACGTGAGACAGGGACAGCATCTTCTTCTCCTTCTTCAATCTTCTGTGGTAACGCAGCTGTATCGAGCTCATGAGAACCAACAGGAACACCGTTTCTTTCTTTCCCTGTCAATTTGGCTGAGGGAATGCCGTGGGAGAATCTGAGCAGCTCATGAGGCGGAATCTGAAATGTGTCTGATCTGCCACCAGTTGCATTTCGACAAAAGACGCTTGCAAAGCCTTCTACTTTGCGCAAGAGCGCAACCTCTATTCCAACTCCTTCCGCATATTCTGACAAGACTTCAACATACTCATAGTTATACTGATGGTGACGAGCAGCGGACCGATTGATGTCCCAGTTCTTGAAGAGAGCCCATGTTTCTCCCTTTCTTGGGTATACACTGACAGGATCTCTCATGCCTCTTACTCTGCAATGGATCAGATGAGAGAACGATGGAGTTGTGTAGATATCCTCAACTCCGCCTATTTGGTACTTACCAACAGCGACGGGCAATTTTCTGCGAATCCACTGTTTTGCATTCTCATCATCTGGTTTAGCCTCTAGCCATGTTATCTTAAGCAAGAAGCTAGGTTTCCTTATGACTTTACTGATCATGGCATAAAACCGAGGCATTTTGCCCATGTTATCATACATTGCCCATGTCTGGCCAGCCTTAAAACAGCTCTCTTCCCTCAACTTGTCGAAGTTGTTGAAATCGGGATCAGGACACTCGGAAATCTCTGAGTCCGATGCACTCCCTGAACTTGTTTCCTTCGCTGCAACTGAGTCCCGAGAGCTTCCCACATGGTCTTCATTTACCTTCTCCTTCCTTTTAATCCCATTTTCTGCAAACAGGTTATTCTCATGTGGCTTCTTTCTGAAATCAGACTCTTGAGCAGTTTCTGCACCCTCTTTTTTCTTGTCATCATCACCCACATTCTGTTTGTATGAAACGTGCTGCTTGCTACGGACTGACCTCCGAGCAGTTGCAAACTCTTCCCGCTCACAGCTACTCGCGCTGGAAGAGCCGCTGGACTCAACAACTATCTTCTTCCTCTTTCTCTTTCCATAGTTGTTGTTCTCAGCAGAAGTAGCCAAGCTTTTTGCTTTAGAAGCCTCTTTTCTTGGGGAAGTTCTTCTGGCAGAATTCTCCGGCTGCTTCTGTACTCCGTTGGCTGCTGCCTTTTGAGTAGAAACCTTGCTCTGTTGGTGGAAGGCGTTGGTCGGCTCAGCTGGTGGACCCTGGAAGGCAGATGGAATCGCAATGAATTGCTTACTGCAACTCGGACAACGCATTAGTTTGTTGATATATTCCCTCAGATATTCATGCTTCATCTGACAAAAGGCGCATGAGGTCCAAAAGCTCCGGTTTTCACTAAAACCAGGCGGTGCTTGAGCTTGAGGTTTTGGCTGGGTTTCAGGTCTCGAAGCCGCCGGGAAGCTGTTCCTCGTCGCATTGACGCTTGTCTGGAAAACAGTCTGAGTGTAAGCAGAAGTGCCCGGGGCTTGTTGTTTGTTTTGATAGGACGATGCTGGTGCAGGCCTTTTAAAGGGTTTGCGTCTCATGTCATGAACCCTCCTCTTCTCTTTGTCCAAAAGAATCCTCTGAGCTTCCCCAATCGTTTTGAAAGCAGATTCAGCACCAGGGAGCTTGTTTTTGTCCGGGTGTAGAAGAAGAGCAAGCTTCTTATACTGTTTCTTGATGGCGTTGTCGTCTGCGTTGTGCTCGACTTGAAGAATCTTGTACCAATCAGTCTCGTCCCCAGATTTCTCCAGTGATGCACAGTGAACATCGCACACCATTATCATGTGAGCAATATTCTCCAAGGTTCCATCCATATTCTGGGCCTTTACCGCAATTCTACGAGCAGTCGCGAATTCTGACTTCCTCATCCAGTCTTGTGCTAAATCCTTGGCTCGAAGAGCCTCATCTTTGTTGCTCATTCTGGAAAAAAACCTAGATTTCAATCTACCCCTACACGGACAAATTCGAGTTCAGAAACTGTGAAATCAAAAACGAAAAAAAGACCCAAACAAACAAGACAGTTTTAAACAAAGCGAACTCAGACATTCAGACATGGAAACACAAAATTAAAGGCGGAGAATTTCTCTGATTTCTCCGAGATGGAGCAAAAGGAGTACTCACGACGAACAAACGATTTTAGGGACATGAGCCAGAGAGTGAGAGAATGTGAGATAATGAGAGAGAGAGAGAGTCGGAAAACTCACCGGAGCTCGGAGAAGAAGAAACGAAAGGACGAGAGAGAGAGAAAAGGAGTCGTCAAATGCTCACGTCGAAGGGCAACTGACTCTTTGACTGAAATCTGTCATCTTCTTCGTTTGTGGGGGAAACACCTCACACGGTTTATATGCTTCTCTTGGTTTTACTGTAATTTTTAGAAATTCTGAGGTTCTTTGAGCTCTGCATTCTTATCTATTTGCATTTAAACCCTTCGAGTTTAGCTAAATTGCTGCTGAATTACTACCAATTTCTGAAGAAAGGGGTATTTTGATCATTTTGTATTTATAGGTAAAGACTTTTATATCCTTATCCAAAAAAAAAATTGATAGATATATATAAGTCTTTACACAAAATAAATTGATACTTTACTTTTAGGTTTTGGAAACGCGATCATATGCTTATCTGAAACTCTAATTTTAAGATATCTAAATTTATATCTGCTAAATTTTTTGATTTCTTACCGGCTTTAAGAAATAAAGAAGAAAAAATCTACGTAATTAAAACTCTAATATTAAAATATTTAAATTTATATTCATCAAATCCAAAAAAATTATTTGATTATAATTTTAAATAATATTATTAAAATTAATTTTTATAAATATTTTGAACATATTTTTTATGGATATTTAAAACAGTATTTATATTTTGTAAATAAATTATAATTCAAAGATATTTTTAAGTTTTTTATATTTATATAAATAGCTTATATATTATAAAAAATTTACAAAAATGATATAGATCAGATCTAGATATTTTTATATTTATATTTTAATATTTTATTAATTGAATAGCAAATTTGATATTTATCTTTAAAATATTATTATTTGAATTTTGATTTGAAAACTGCGAATATTTTATTTTTTTATTGAATGGAATCAGATTTTAAATATTTGATATTTTACCAAATCATAATTTTAGATATAAATGGTTTGATTTAATTAAACTAAATCAAATAAAATAATTAATTTAATTAAAATAACATCGAAATTAGAAAAAAAAATAGTTTAAACTAAATAACAAGCTTGATTGGAATTTAAATCAAAATCCAAAAGTAAACTATATTAATCTTAATTTGATTATTTTTACATATTATCGAAACAACTGAGCCAAAATAAAATTTAAATTTGGAATAAACTATTTTTAGTTATAATCTTAACTAGGATCATATAAAAAACCAATATGCTAAATGGTACAAGTATAAAAATGAAAAAAAAAACAAAAAAACTCAATCTTACATGAACTTCAAACATAAAAATGTTGAAGACTAGTTTAGTAACAGTAACACCAACGAATCTGTATATAGAAGAATCACTTTTACATTCTGCAGTCGAATTGAAAATTAACTCAAACGAAGATATCACAACAAAAGAGTTGAAAGATCTTCGATCACAAAGAACAAACACCAATGAAAATATAAAATGAATGTAATCTGTCTATATATTAGGAGTAGTAGAAGAGGAGAACATAACAACTTTTTCCAAGACAGAAATTATTTAGGCAAAATCAATATACTTGTAATCTTTTTTAAGCGTTTCTAATGTGACAAAGGAAAGAAAAAAAAAAGATTCACTCAAGTCTTTTATGAGAAATTCAGACAAACCTGCATACACAAGACTGCAACATAGATACAAAATAGCCAACAAAAGAGAAACAAACATGCCTAAAAAACATGGGGAAAGCCTGAGTAAGTTTCAGGTCTTCTCAGATCTTAAACCGACAACAACAAACCAGTTTTGACCAAAAAGTTAGCATTAAAAAGGAATCCTTTGCTCACACCTCCGTTCGCTTCTATATTTTAACAACAACGGTCTTCAATCAGCAAGTTTGAAGGTATTGCTCTATAATCAACTTTATAAACAAGAATTACTCCACGCTCACCATTTTCGCGGTAAAAGTTCATTGCCACTTATATTTGGCGGGAAAACAAATCTCAAACTATACTACATCATCATCGCCCTTACAGCAACGAATGCAAGAAATAGTTAATTATTCTGTAGTTTTAACCGACAAAACACATTCAGTGAGAAAGATTTCAGACCAACTTGCAAATACATGCTGCTTCATGAGGAATATACAGACCTTAAGATTCTTACATGATAGTGAAAGTCTTACATCATGTTTCAGAACATAGATAAGAACATTCTTACATGATAGAGAAAGTCTTAAGATACTTAACCAAAAAAAGAAACCCAACAAAATGCACCAAAAGCTAACCAAGAGGAATCATTGGCTTCCCTTGCTTTCTTTCTTTGCTCATCAATGGTCTGAAAACACCAGGTTATGAGGTAATGCTCCTGAATCAACTTTCGTAAGGTCGTTTAACACTCCGTGTATCTCCTTGGTTACACGGGAAGCAGGAGCCTTGTACGAGAACCTGAGCCTTTCCGACTTTGGGATCGTAAATATTGGTTCAGAGCCGTCAATCTCGTTATACTTATACTCCGTAACTGCCTGAAAAAACATATGATCATCCTCATCTTCACCTTTATCACAACCGTGAGAGCGTTCCAGCAGTAAGACCTTATAGTCCAAGGTGTCATCAAGAATTTCAACGATGTCACAGCTGCTATAAGCCAACCTCTCATATTCCATGTACTGATTCCAGAATCTGTGTATCACCCAAACTTCCCCAACCTTGGGAAGTATAGTAAACTCATTTCCATCCATGGAGGTTTGAGGCATAATCTGTTGCGAAATATCATCTGGAGTGATTATTTCGAGAGCATTTCTCGCGTAGAAAGTTCCACAACCAACGGGCATTTTCTTCTCTTCCCACTGGATCACATCGACAGGGAAGCGAGTAGCCATGAACCGACTTACATGTAGTTTATATTTTGTCTCCTGCTCGAGTACTTGAACAGCAGTGATCTTCTGAATCCTACAGTAGTACAGAGGAACCTCATCAAGACCACTGCAATATGACCAAATCTGGCCAGTCTGAAAAACCTTCCCCTTGCTAGCGAAGTAAATTGCATGGCGTTTAGGCTTTCTATTACTCTCAGCGTTTGTAGGAACCATAGTCTCTTCGATTGTTTCAGGTAGTGCAGCTTGGTCCAGCTCGTAAGCCTCTTTTGGTAAACCTTTTCCTTCAACTCCTGTCATTTTGAAAGAAGGGATCATATGGGAGAACCGATATAAACTGTGAGGCAGAATCTGAGATACGTCTGCATCCCCAGTTCCCGTTCGAAAGAAGACACTTGCAAAGCCTTTTGCTTTATGCAAGAATGCAACAGATACACCAGTTCCATCAGCGTAATCTGACAAAATCTCAACAAACTCATACTCGTATTTCCGGTGAGAATCTGGCTCTGAAGACCACTTGATATCCCAGTTCTTCAACAGAGCCCAAGTCTCGCCCTTTCTCGGGGAAACATTGAGATGACCGGTGTTGCTTCCTTCTTTGCAATGTACAACATGTGAGAACATGGATCGGTCTTTCGTGTTCTGACTTTTCCCAAGCCTGAATTGACCAACAGAGACAGGCAAGTCTTGTTCAAACCATTGGATCTCTTTCTCATCATCTGGATCTGGCTCTAGATATGTGATCCTAAACTCAAAGGAAGGAGCTGAAACTTTTCGGATCCGAGCATATAATCTAGGCATCCCATCCACTTTATCATAAAGAGCCCAGGTCTGCCCAACCGCAAAGTTTACATCTTCCCTCAGCTTCTTAAAATCGTTAAACTTGAGACCTGCACATTCAGAAATCTTTGGTTGTATTGACTCTTCTCCCCTTTTTGCACATCCATTATCATTGGAACCTCTTCTATTATCCTGTTCAACACCGCCATTTTCGGTATTGCAACTTTCACCATGCTCAGTCCTCTTTCTCTTCTCGCCAACACTCACGGCAGAACTGAAACCGGGGGAGTGAACATTTCCAGCAGAAGCAGAAGTAAATGTTGTAGCACCTTCAGAACAAGTCCCTTTCATTAAAGCCTCTGAAACAGCTTTCCTTCTACGAAGCTCGTTTGAAGTGATATCCATCATCGAACAAAGAAACGATAGCACTCAAGAAGACAACTTCCTCCTCTAGGGTTCCTGCGGAATTTACAGTAGATACTTTAACATTGGTAAGATAATCCATACAGAGACGCAAATCTATATTTGTAACAAAGATGAATGACTTAGGTATTGTTCAACCGTACAGATCAAAGTGAAAAGGCTGAACTTTCAAACCAGAAGAAAGTAATAAGAATCCTAAATTAAGCATATATGCATCTATGGAAACCCAAAGCTCACGATTAGAGGGAACAAGCGAGAACACCTAAACCCTAGATTGAGCAATAACCCCACATTCGGAAATCAAAAATGGGATACAGGAATTAACAAAAAAAAAAAAAGACATGTAGATACTATCGACTAACCGATTTGATCAATTTATGCGACGAACGCAAACCGCAGCGTCGTCGGCGGCGTAAACCTTTGACGGAAAAGGAGAGAGACGATACGCCGTTCTTAATAGAAAAGCATATTTATCTTAATATCCCCATTTTCAAGAGAATAGTCCACTGGTATTGGCGGGAAAATGATCGATTATCACTCTATCGTATCTATTAAATTATTAGTAGTTTTGCAAAAGTCAACCAAATCTAAAATTATAGTGCTGAATGTTTGAATCTGTTAGCAGTCTTTCGTCATCACCTTTAGTGCGAGAAAATTTTGACATGGCAGCACATGCAAGAACTCGTAATCTAATTTTGAGTTTAGCTAAGAAACACACATTTAGTGAGAGGAATTTACATTCCAACCAGCAAATACATGCTATTTCATACCATAGATAAAGAACATATATACCTATCTTAAGATTCTTTCATCATGTTTCAGATCATAGTAGATAAGAACACTCTTAACAAAAAAAAACCACAACTTGTCGTTGTAATCTAAACCACATGGAGAAAGTCTTTTCCTACCTTCTCAAAATACATGATTTGAAACCCGACAAAAGAAGAACCATGGAGAAAAGACTAAGTTTAAGCGTCTTAGATCTTTCAGCCAAGGACAAACCTTTTGACGTAATGCATCAAAAGCTAACAAAAAAAAAGGAATCCTTCCCTAACATCCTTTGCTCATTAGTCATACGAACAAGGTATCGCGCTACTATCAACTTCAAAAAGCACATTCACCTCTCCGTCTATCTCCTTGGTTACGCGGGAAGCAGGAACCTGATGAGAAAATCTGAGAATTTTCCACTTTGGGATTGTAAATATCACTCCCGACCCATCCTCGACACAACACTCAGAGGGCCTGCTCTTAGCTGCTCTGAAAATTTTACTTTTCTCTTCATTCGGAAACAACGCTCGCTCCAACGCTAAAACCTTATACTTCAAGGCGTCATCAAGAACTTCGACGATGTCAAAGTCCAACTCGTCTCTTTCCAGTTCATCGACGTCAAAGTGAGGAGCCCAGGATCTGTAAATCACCCACACTTCGCCAATCTTGGGCAGAATGGTGTACTCATCTCCATCCATGGAGGTTTTAGGCACTATCTGATGTGAAACATTATCTGGAGTGATTGTTGAGCAAGTTTTAGCCACAAAGAAAGTCCCACAACCAACAGGCATCCCCTTGTCCTCCCACTTGATGAAATTCTGAGGGTATGGAGAAGCCTTTAAACGACCTACGTGTAGCTTCAGTTCTGCTGCCTGCTCGAACGCCTGAGTTAGGGTGATCTTCTGAATCCTACCGTAGACCACTTAATGTCCCAGTTCTTGAACAGAGCCCAAGTCTCGCCTTTTCTCGGTGTAACAGTGAGATGACCAGTGTTGTTTCCTTCATTGCAATGTACAACATGTGAGAATATTGAACGATCTTTCGTGTTGTGATTTTTCCCAAGCCTGAACTGACCAGCAGAAACAGGCAAGTCCTGTTCAAACCATTGGATCTCTCTCTCATCATCTGGATCTGGCTCCAAGTATGTGATCCTAAACTCAAAGGAAGGAGCTGAAACTTTTCTGATCCGGGCATACAATCTAGGCATCCCATCCACTTTATCATCATAAACAGCCCAGGTCTGCCCAACCGCAAAGTTTACATCTTCCCTCAGCTTCTCAAAGTCGTTAAACTTGAGACCAGCACTTTCAGAAATCTTTGGTTGTACCAACTCCTCTCCGCTTTCTGCATCTCTAATATCATTTGACGCATTCCTCTTTCTCTTCTCGCCAACACACACAGCAAAACTCAAACCAGGGGAGTGAACATTTACAGCAGGAGCAGAAGAAAAGGTTGTAGCAACGTCAGAACAGGTCCCTTTCATCAAGGTCTCTGAAACAGCTTTCCTTCTGAGAAGCTCGTTTGAATTGATATCCATCATCAAACAAAGAAACAAATGAGCACTCGGGAGGAAGACGACTTCCGCCTCTAGGGTTCCTGCGGAAGATACAATATATACTTTTAACATTGGTAAGATAGTGTTCAAGCGTGCCGTAAATTAAAAAGGGCTGAACTTTCAAAATGTCGAAATTGTGAAGCTATCTCAAACCAGAAGAAGTAATAAGAACCCTAAATTAAGCATATATGCAGTCTGCAACCCTAAATTATGCATCTATGCAGTCTGTAACCAAACCCAAATCTCACGATTAGGGGAAGCAAGCGAGAACACCCAAACCCTAGATTGAGCAATAACACTACATTCGGAAATCAAAAATGGGATACCGAAATTTAAAAAAAAAAAGAAAAAAAAAAGCATGCACATACTATCGACTAACCGATTTGATCAATTTATGCAGCAACAAGCAACAATAGCAAACCGCAGTCGTCGGCGGCGGAAACTTTTGCCGGGAAAGGAGAGAGACAATACGGCATGCTTAATAGAAAAGCATATTTATCCTAATATCCCGCCTTTTTTACGATAATTAGTCTACTGGCATTGGCGGGAAAAAGATCTATTATCAGCTCTATTTTTATCTATTAAATTATTAATAGTAGCCCTAATTTATAAACCCAAAGATCATGTCAATTTCTTGCTTGCAAGATTTGTTCTCAATTTGATTTGATAAATAATTTTTATTTTATAAATGGCGATTAAAAAGAGGAAAAACTTGTTGTAACAGTTGAGTTAGGTAAAGATTCAATTAGAAATACTTATCAATCGTGTTTAGTTACATCAAGGAATTAGGAATTTAGCTCAAGAGAGTTTTAACTTTAGACACTAGACTAGATAGCGAAATATCAATGAAGTGACTAGGAAAACATTGAGAAACTCAAGTAAAATTTTCTCATTTTAATCTAAACACTAATATGAAGAAAACAAAATTCTCAGTTTATTATTCAAAAAACATAACGTTTTGTTGTGAGTGATTTTTCGGTGAGCCGAGAGCAACACAACTGTCTTCTATCACAACCTCCAGCCGAAATCGGTTCTGACATCGATTGTACTCTTGTTTTTCTTTTGTTCAAGTTTCTTAAGTTTTATTGCTTCAAATAATAAGCTTTATCTATTACATTGAAATAGTGTTTTGAAGAGGAGCCACTCATTATTATGGACCAATCCAAAGACTAGATTCTAATAATAATTTACATATTGAAATTTTTTGATTTATTGCTTTTTGATATTGCATCACTTACTGATCAACAATGAGTTTCTTGAACCGGTGCACTTTGATAGGTTGTTATCTCTGTCTAGCACCATTGACTCTTTATTGCTGCCAAAGATACCAAGAGCTAGCAGGATCCTTCTCTCAACGACAAAATCAAGCGTTTTGCCATTTTGATGGCTTCATAAATGCAGATCTAAGGGAGTTAATTTGCTGCATTTCTATTCAACAAAGCTAGGAACCAAGAATGTTGGAATTCCAAAACGAGATTCAATTGGAGAGTTGTTCAGGATGTTGCCTTGGCAGCTGCAAGAGCAAGAGGTGTTTCCAGAGTGTGTCGGCAATGAGTGGTTATTTTTTAAGACACCACCTCCCATATACCAAAACTATGAACCATGTGTCTAACCTAACCATAGATTCAAAATGCATAAGTTGTATTAAAAAATTCAAAATTATTATTTTTAAAAGAAAATTCTTAACCTTGTTTAGAATAGTGATTCAAAATTGGACAAAAACTAATTTGTTTTAAAAACAAAAAAAATATGACATATGGCATTACGATTAGTGTTGGCACACAAAGATAAAATTTTCATTCAGCCATCAAATTTGATAGTGATGAAAATAACCACGATCTAGGAAGTCATATTGGATTAGTGATTTCGGAGAATTTCAAATTTTCCCCAAATCTCTTCTTATTAAATCTAGTATTGAATCTAGTATTTGTAAAAATTATTCAAAATTTAAAGTTATTGAATTAGTTATTTATTTGTTTGACAAAAAAAAAAGAATTAGTTATTTATAAAAGAAAAAAAATCAGCTTACTAAAAAATAGAGATTTCATCAATAAAAATTATAGAAAGTTCATGGAGATTGATGGCTACCATGGCTCGATCGAGGAGAGCAAGAGGAGATGGTGCGGGGTTTCATAACCGTGGCAATTAAGAACCGCGTCCATGCTGTGAGAGAAAAAAAAGAAGATTAAGCTTCGAAATTCATGTCAATCAAAAAGAGAATAATCTCTAAAAACTCAAATTTCAGAAATTATGTTTACTTGAGGTGAAAGAAGTTGGAGGTTTGTCCATTAGCGCCTTAACCGATGATAGCCACTTGGCCTTGATTCTCATCCACCATCTTCTATGCTTTGGTGAAGAGCTGACGGATCCAAACTGGGTTCGGCCATTGTATCTCTCTCGCTTATTGTTTTTTTTGTCTTTTTGTGCCTTTCTCTGGTTATATGCGTGAGACGGAATAGAAGGACTTATGGATTTTATAGGGGAATAGTGAATAAAGGATTGAATTCAAAATCAGGATTCAATTGGAGAGTTGTTTAGGACCGTCTCCAGTGTGTGGCGGCAATGAGTGGCTCTTTTTCAAAACACCACCTGCCCTATACCAAAATCATGAACCATGTGTCTAACCCAACCATAAATTCAAAATGCATAGGCTGTACAAAAAAATTCAAAATTATTATTTTAAAAAGAAAAATCTTAACCTTATTTAGAATAGTGATTCATAAGTTTGAAAAAATAGTTTGTTTTGAAATGAAAAAATATGACACATAGCATTATGATTAATGTTGGCACACATAGATAATATTTTCTTTGAGCCATCAAATTTGATAGTGATGAAAATAAACACAATCTAAGGGCATATTGAATTAGTGATTTGGGAGAATTTTAAATTTTTCTGAAATCCCCTCTTATTCAATCGAGTATTTGTAAAAATTATCCAAAATTTAAAATTATTGAATTAGTTATTTATAAAAATTCTTTCAAAATTCAGCTTATTAAAAAATAGAGATTTCATCAATAAAATATATCAAAAACAATTTGGAATGATTTGTAAGATAATTTGTAGTTAAAAAACAATAGATTCAAATACCATCTTATGAGATGAAATTTGAGAAAATAAACTAATCTTTTTTTATATAAACTCTTACGATAAACAAAAAAAAAACCGAGAAAACTGGCTATTTTGCTCTTGAAATGAAAAAGTGAGACCATTGTCCTTTTTTATTCATGAACAAAACAAAAAATAAAAAATTCATTCACTTATCAGAGCATCTTTTGCTAATTTATCAGTCTCAGTATTTCTGGAACGAGGGATACAATGAAACTAATTAGCTTTCATCTTATATTCGGGTTAATATCTCATATTCTCTTTGATTGTCAGAGAAGAATCCATGGTATCAAAAGACCTGTAGTAATTCAGGTTGGCGGTAGGCACCTTATTCTATTATATTATTAATATATATAATTCTAATCATTTATGATTTAGATTGTGTTTAAGAAACTGAGTCTGAATCTCTGAGTTTTGTTTCAATATCGTTGGTGGGATATTTCAATCAATGTAAAGTGTGAAGCCATTTCTTGGAAGTGGCTGATGACAGCTTTTAACTTTACCAGTGAAGTGCTGATATCACCTCAAAACAGAGTCTAGGACCAAAACTGTGTTGTTTCAGTTCCAGAGTCAGAGATTCAAGTTAAACAGGCAATGGCTCCATGTTAGTTTTGAAAAGAGGAAAGAGACAGTGAGGCCAAACCAAAAGTGTAAAATATAAAGTCCAGATTATAAGAGACATAAAACTATAGTGCCAACATCACCTGGTGACAAAAGATTGTATCAACGCAAGTAGTTAAAGAGGTTATTATGGATATCAAATCTCTCAGACTACAAGAGCATAAGACTCTCTACGTAATCCACGAAGTACATTGCTTCAGTAGACCAATTACTGTATTCGGAAAACTTAATAGTGTTCGTCTCACAACTAGCTCCCTTGAGATCGTAGCGGATAACTCTAGCAGCCCCATTTTGAACGGTGGGTGCAAAAATAGCCTCACCCATACGATTAATACCTTTCATATCTAAAGGCAGATACGGAAGATTATGGAAAGACCTTTCATGGAAACCCTGTTTCCCTTCTTCAAAAACAAACAAATGAATCGTACTCTCATCCCTGACAGGTTCGATTGCTGCGGCTACTTTGCCGTGATAGTTCACCAAAGTTGTCGGAACAGCACCATCCCAATGTCGAATATCCTCAGATACTCTAGCAAAGATGTCAAACTTTTCAGACTTCAAATCGAATCTCACAACGCTCTATCCTGTTCCCGTGTGTGCAATGTAGTACACAGCTCCATCTATACACTCGCCTCTAGAGTAAGGACGGTGAGGAACGCTGCAATGGATCTCTCTCCATGGTTCTTGTTTAGCTCCCAGTGTGAACACTCGAAAGTCAGGCCACGGATCTTCCATAGGCACCTCGAAAGGTTTCCCCATGAGCAACACTTTGTACTCGTCATTGACTGGATCGTACCCGAAAAAGCGTTCGAACCGGGTGGAGATATCGGCTTCGAAGCTTGGTAAAGTTATGAACTTTCCGGTGCAAGGGTTACATATGACTTCTCCGACGCAAACCAAACCCTTGACGTAATAAGTAGGGCACTCGATTAGCGAATCATTTTGGTGAGGCGGCCATTTTATTTTGGATAGAAAAGAGGTTGGTAATTCTATCGATGTCGATGGAAACGACAGCGAAGGACTAGAGAAGAAGCGGCACCTTCGGTGTCCCGTGTCGATAGCTTTGTGCTTGAAAGCGAGCAGGAGATGCAAAGGCTGTGTCGAGGATCCAAAGGGAAACCATCTGATGAAACACTTGCTCCGGATGGTTCTTGCCCATGATTTCGATACCAGCATAAACCTAGCTACGGATTTCGCAGGCAATCGGTTAAGAACCTCCGTCACTATGTCCAAAGGAACAGCATCTCCAGAATTGTTCTCTGTTTTGCTCTTTTTGCAAAGAGGGAGACTTTTTCTCATTGTGGGGAACCCTAAATTCGTACCTTTTTTGTCTTCCTATCTTACTCTTTATATAAAGAGGCATCAGGCCGACAACAGTCCGGTTAATGGGCTTGACCATCTGACCCGGTCATGTGCAAAGATTGAATGGTCCGTATGAGTTTAAATCAATCAGTGAGGTGTTTAAAATCACCTAAAGGCCGAAGTGTAGATTACTTCACCTCGAAGTCAAATTTTTAGTTGAATAATAATAAATTACTTCACCTCGGTCACTTTGAAGGAAGGGATCATATGGGAGAACCGATATGGACTGTGAGGCGGAATCTGAGACGCGTCTGCATCACCAGCTCCCATTCGAAAGAAGACACTTGCAAAGCCTTTTGCTTTATGCAAGAATGCAACAGATACACCGGATCCATCAGCGTAATCAGACAAGACCTCAACAAACTCATACTCGTATTTGCGGTGAGAATCTGGCTCTGAAGACCACTTAATGTCCCAGTTCTTTAATAGAGCCCCAAGTCTCGCCTTTCCTCGGGGAAACAGTGAGATCACCACCAATGTTGCTTCCTTGGTTGCATTGGATAACATGTGAGAACATAGATAAAATGTGGTGTTGTCTCTATTTTTCTTTTGCTCGTGTTTAAATCAATGATTTAATACTATTGAACATAAGGGCTTCAATGCCAACATCAACTGGTTACAAAAGCGTGTATCAACAATGCATGCAAGTATAGCTAAAGAGATTAGAAAATGGGTATGAAACCATCAACTCTCTCAAACTACAACAAGCATAAGACTCTCTACGTAATCCATGAAGTACATTGCTGCAGTAAACCACTTTCTCTTTTCGTCAACTTCAATCTTGATCGTCTTACAACTAGCTCCCTTGGGATCGTAGCGGATAACGTTAGCACCACTGTTCGTGATGGTGCAAAAATAATCTCACCCATATGATTAATACCTTTCATAAGTAAACGCGGAGAGGGAAGATTGTGGAAAGACCTCACACAGCAATTCTGTTTCCCTGCTTCGAAAACAAACAAATGAATCGTACAGTCACGCCTGTCAGGTTGGATTGCTACTTTGCCATAATAGTTTATCAAAGTCATTGGAACAAAACCATACGAATCTCCAATAACCTCAGATACTCTAGCAAATATGTCAAACTTTTCAGACCTCAAATCGAATCTCACGACGCTCTTCTGTTCTGTTCCCGTGTGCGCAATGTAGTACACTGCTCCATCTATACACACGCCTCTAGAGTAAGGACGGTGAGGAACGCTACAATCGATCGCTCTCCATGATTCTTGTTTAGCTCCCAGTGTGAAGACTCCAAAGTCAGACCACGGATCCGCACTACGACCCTTGAATGTTTTCCTCATGAGCAACACTTTATACTCGTCATTGACTGGATCGTACCCGAAAAAGCGTTCGACCCGGATTGAGATACCGGGGTTGAAGCTTGGTAAAGTTATGAACTTTCCGCTGCAAGGGTTACATACGGTTTCTCCGACGCAAACCAACCCCTTGACGCAATAAGTAGGGTACTCGACTCGCGAATACCTTTGGTGAGGCCATGTTATTGTGGATAGAAAAGAGGTTGGTATCGACGAAGACGACGACAGCGAAGAAGAATAGAAGAAGCGGCAACTTTGGTGTCCCGTTTTGCGATCTTGGTGGTTGAAAGCCATCAGGAGACGCAAAGGCTGAGTCAAGGATCCAAAAGGAAACCTTCCGATGAAACACTTGCTCCGGATGATTCTTGCCCATGATTTCGATACCAGCATAAACCTAGCTACGGATCTCGCAGGCAATCGGTTAAGAACCTCCGTCACTAGGTCCAAAGGAACAGCATCTCCAGCATTGTTCTCTGTTTTCCTCTTTTTGCAAGGAGGGAGACTTCTTCTCATGGTGGGGAACCCTAAATTCGTACATCTTTTTTTCTCTCTTGCTTTTTTAAATAGAGACGCATCAGGCCGACAACAGTCTGGTTAATGGGCTTGCCTATCTGGTCCGTATGAGTTTAAATCAATGATTTAATATTTAACATGAGACTTCTAATAAGTTGCTAACTGTTGTAAACAAACCAGTGAGGTGTTTAAAATCACCTAAAGGCCAAAGTTTAGATTACTTCACCTCGAAGTCAAACTGCAGATGCTGCTAATAAACAGAGAACTAACAATGGATCAAGGGATTAGTTAGTATAAACATTGAGAAAGTTCAGTGAATGATTCCTCATCTTGATCTTCAACCTCTAAGTACCCTTTGGATCAAAAAAGCAACAAAAAAAAGGTCATCCTTCTCTCCCATGTTCATTGATCCACAGGGTTGTTTCAGCTCCAGAGTCATAAAATCAAGTTAACTGGTGGTATTGCTTCAGATGTTAGGTTCATAGACATCTTGCATAGCTCCATGTATCTCTTTGGCTATTCTCAACGTATGAACTTGGTGCGAGAATCTGAGAAGTTCCGATTTCGGAATTGTGAATCTCACATCCGCGCCATCAATCCAGTGCTCTGTTGCAGCCATATACGCCGAACCAAAACCTCCAGAATCCGCTAAACCAAAGCCACCATCAGGAGCCAACAGCAAAACCTTGTACTCCAATTTATCATCATCAAGAACTTCCACAAGATCATAAGTCTGGGATTGCAGATTAACGGCTTCAATGTCCTTACTCCAGTTTCTGTAGATAGCCCAGACATCACCAGTCTTGGGCATGATGCTGTAATCATTTCCATCTCCAGAGGAGTCTGGCTTTATCTGACGCTTAAACACATCAAGATCAGTGAATATTTCGACAACTTTTCTTGCCCGGAAATTCCCACACCCAATGGACATTTCCTTGTCGATCCATTGGATGATGCCTTTGATAGGTCTAGCCTTTAGCCGACCTACATGCAACTTAACAACCGGATCCTGCTCAGATGCCTGGATAAACGTGATCTTCTGAATCTTGCCATAGAACCGGGGCAAGTGATCGTCACCACTGCAAAATGACCAGACTTGGCCAGTTTGAAAACTCCTTCCTTTACTAGCAAAGTAAACACACTGAGAATGAGTATTATCCTCAGAGTTTGAAACTGTAGGCTCTGCTAGTAGATGTAAAGGAACGTCAATCTCTTTGATATTTTCTGGTAACGCTGCTGGATCCAGCTCATAAGAACCTCTTGGCACACCTTCTGCTTCAACTCCCGTCATCTTGAATGATGGAACACGGTGAGAGAATCGCTCTGTATCAGCCCGATGAATGTAGGACCTAACAACTTCTTCAGTAAAGCGGCAGAACACACTTGAAAAGCCTTTTGCTTTATGCAAGAATCCGACAGGTGCACTAGATCCATCATCGTACTCTGACAAGATTTGGACAAATGCATAATTATATTTACAGGGAGAACCGGGATCAGCTGACCAGTCTACCTCCCAGTTCATGGAGAGAGGACGCTTGTAGCGACCCTTGAAGACAACCCAAGTCTCTCCTTCTCTTGGATATACACTGAATCTATCTGCGCTACTTCCTTCATTGCACTGAACCACATGAGAGAACCTTCCACGATCTTTTATATCCTTGTTTTCCCCGAGTTTGAACCAACCAACAGAAACAGGTAACTCCTTGTCACGCTTCTGTACTCTGTCCTCGTCATCTGGATCAGGCTCAAGCCATGTGACGCTAAGACAGAAACCGGAAACTGAAACTTTTCTGATCTGAGCATACAACCTAGGCATCCCATCCACTTTATTATCATAAAGAGCCCACGTCTGTCCAACCGCAAAGCTTCCTTCCTCCCTCAGCTTATCAAAGTCATTGAAAGTAGAATCCTGTTTGGCTCTTTCTGGTTCTTCTCCTGCTTCTTCCTTTGCCAGAGACCCTTTACGATTTCCGTTGCTTTGTACATCGAAAGCTTGCCGCTACAGACCTCTGAGACTCCACTCCTCCACCAAAACCAAAACTTTTTATAGCTTTAGTGTCACCAACTATAATAACTTCTTCAACCTCGCTGCTGTTTCCACTTTCTCTTCCTCTGCTCACCAATCCTTCCCTCTTTCTCTTCTCGCCAGTGTTTGTGGCAGAAGAGAAGGTCTGATTGTGGTGAAGTGGAACTTGTTCGGCATCAGATGGAGCACCATCAAGGTTAGTCTTTTCCATCACCCCTCGAGTGGCTCCCCGATTATGATTTCAACTCGATCAGGTTCAGTCCTGTCCATCAACAACAATGAACAGATGAAGTAATCGAAACAAAGCAAACGTCAAACAGTTTGCACAATAATAACTGTTCTTAGCATTTATATCTCAGACCAACCCCAATGGAGACACAAAGACCATCTCCATCGGCCTCTTTAAGAGGGTATTTAACCAAAAAAAAAATTATAAAAAAAGAAAAGAAAGTGGAGAGAGAAGAGATATGTCCCTTATATAGACATTTCTACATACGTATCTTAACACAATCTCAGAGCATGTCTATCGGTAGAGAGATGTTTTTGAGTATCTAAGATATATAAAAATAATATAATTTATTTATATAATTAAATTTTAAATAAGAAAGAAAGTAAACCAATAGTTAGTTTACATGTGTTGAGATTGTGTTAAGATACGTATGTAGAAATGTCTATATAAAGGACGTATCTCTTCTCTCTCTACTTTCTTTTCTTTTTTTATAATTTTTTTTGGTTAGATACCCTCTTAAAGACACCGATGGAGATGGTCTCAACACATGTAAACTAACTATTGGTTTACTTTCTTTCTTATTTAAAATTTATTTATATAAATAAATTATATTATTTTTATATATCTTAGATACTCAAAAACATCTCTCTACCGATGGACATACTCTAAAGAGTCTAATAAAGAATGTCTAATATTATAACTGAATAAAAAAATTATAAAGAGTGTCTAATATATAAGACCAGTGTCTAATATAAGATCTCTTTTTTAGTTTAAGAACGGACATGTGTTAACATGTGAGTGGACGAAAAAAATTAACACACAGAATCTTTTTTTTTGTTTCTCTCTCTAATTGCAATAAGTAGGCATGAGATTTTAAACCGAACCGAACTAACTGAACCGAATTTTTTGGTTTTCGGTTCTGGTTCGGTTATTGAAGAAAAACCGATCGGATAGATTTTAAATCTCGTTCGGTTATTGGTTCGGTTCGGTTTGCTGAACCGAATAGTTACCCAATTTTTTTAAAAAAAAATTATACCAAAATATACCAAATTGTACCAAATTATATCGAACTGAATATCCGAACTATCCGAAAATATCTGAAATTATCCAAAAATATCCGAAATAACCCGAATCTACCCGAAATTAACCAAATTTAACCTAATTTAAACAAAAAAAATTAGTTTGGATAGTTTCAGATAAAAAATTAATATCTGAACTATCCAAACCGAACCGAACGAATTAAATTTTGGTTATTTTCGGTAGAATTTCAGTAATCCGAACTATCCAAATTATCCGATCCGAATGATCCGAAGTATCCAAAGTCCCAAACATAGCAACAGGCACTGGAATTCCAAAGGAGAAGGTTTCTCAACAAGCACTGAATTGCATTTCTATCATTTATATGTTTCTATGTATTACCTTTGTAAAAATGTATTATGATTTAAAATTTGTTAAAATAAGTTTTTACATAAATTTATTTACAAAAAAATTAAATATAATTTTTTTTAAGACACCCATCAAAGTGTCTCCATTGTATGCTTAAAAACAACAAAATCTTACAAAGTATCTTATATACCTAAAGTACACAAAATATTAATAATTAATCATTAAGATCTCTTCTAGTGGTGTTACCATTGGGGTTGCTCTCAGGCGTATATTCAAAATTCAACGCATATAAAGGTATAAAGCTTTCAAAAAAGCAAGACAAGAAGAAGTGAAGTAAACAACTTAATCAAAAATAATAGAAGTAAAACACTCAGACTCTAACTGGTGACACATAAAAAAATGAATAGGAATAAGAAGGAAAAGAATGAAAGGAACAAAAAAAAAAGGAATCAATAGGAATAAAATACATATAAAGAAATAAAGAATATTTTTTGTTCCTCTCCACATTTTATAAGGAATACTTTTATTCTATAATTTCTTAAATAATAAAGAATGAGAAAGAATAACATGGAACAAATATTATTAGTGAATAGTAAAAAATTTAAGGAATGAAGAGGAATTCATTATTCCTCCAGTTAGAGCCTCAAAGTTTTAAATCCGGAAATAAAACCCCATTTTTAATAGAATTGAATTGAAACACATTTTAAAAACCTCTAAAGCCACCCAAACCCTTGCGATGTAATATATGATAGGAGAGCCTATACCAAGAGAATAAGATAGAATCCAGGAAAGTATGATAAACATGGAACGGGAGACTAACTCGAAAATATTGGCGGTGAGTTTCGCCGGATTCGGAAAAAGAAATCAGATTATGGAACTCACTGACGTCGGAGAGAACTGCGGCGAAGGTTATGTCGGAGAGAGGGCGAAAATTAACTTTTACTTTTTGGGCAACCAGCGAAAATCTACGAACCCTTTTCACGGCGGTAAAAACTAAAAAGCTCATTTCCCAATTCATTTTTGGCGGGAATATATTTCTCAGGATAAATGGGCTAACGATCATTATGGGCCCAACAAGCCCAGCTAATCATTTTTAACTTCATATGCATAGCTCCCTCTCTGTTTTTTTTTTCCCAAAAAGACCCGGTGAAAAACCATATAGCTCCCATATTTTCAAAATATTAAATCATTATCTTAAATTTGTCCAGTTTTGCTTAGGGTTTGAATTTTGAAATTCTCCAATACTTTCTCTCTACCATTTTCCCCCTCTCTGTTTCTCTCTCTTCCCAAATCTTATTCAACGACGGCCACTGATTCCCTTTAGAGCTTGGAAGATTCCGAATCGGATCTCAGGCACCAGTTGAAGCTCGTACGATGAACCAGTACCACATATACGAAGCTATTGGGCAGGGCAAATGCTCGGTAATCTGTAGTCCGCTTAAGCATACCCCCGAGAATCTTCGTTTCTGGAGTGTTTTTGTTCAAATCCGTTCGTATTTATTTTGCAGACTGTGTACAAAGGAAGGAAGAAGAAGACGATCGAGTATTTTGCCTGCAAGAGTGTCGACAAGTCTCGGAAGAGCAAGGTTCTTCAAGAGGTAATCACCAGATCTGTCTCCTCTTTGCCAAATTAGCGATTCATGCTTGGGTTACCTGAGATTTTTCCTGGAGATGTGCTTGGTTGCTTAGATTTATTGAGTAGGTCTCTTAATTGTGACGGATTCACTGTAGATTCCTCAATTAGTGCTCTTAAGTTTCTATTTCTGGTTGATGTTTGCGAATTGAAAGGTCGAATTGATTATTTCAAGATCTCTGAATTGTAGTTTGAATGGTTACTGACAATTTGGTATTTATTCATCTCCTTTACAGGTCAGGATCCTTCACTCGCTAAATCATCCAAATGTACTCAAGTTCTATGCGTGGTAAAACTTACAAAGCTAATATCGAAACAATTATTTGGCTCCCTACATATATATTTGTTCCTCATTATCGTCTTCTTGTGTTCTCAGGTATGAAACTTCTGCTCACATGTGGTTAGTTCTGGAATATTGCGTCGGGGGTGATCTAAGGACATTACTGCAGCAGGTATGGCTTGTAGCTTGGCTGTCTTATTGATGGTAGGTCCTGTGAGACTGCAGCAGGTATCGATTTCTGAAATCCTTTTGTTCTGCAGGATTGTAAACTGCCTGAAGATTCAGTCTATGGTATTGCCTATGATCTTGTCATAGCCCTGCTGTAAGATCCTTTTTCATACCGTTTGACACTGCCTTTAAGTGCATCTAGAAAATGTTTTCTCTTATGAACATTTTTCTTATCTTCTTTCAGGTTTTTGCATTCGAAAGGAATTACATATTGTGATCTGAAACCATCGAACATCTTACTTGATGAAAACGGACATATTAAGGTACGAATGTTGCTGTCTTTTCTATGCAGATGTGTAGTTTGATTGGTTTAAACGATCTCATATCGCTGTGTGTTGCAGCTGTGTGATTTTGGGTTGTCAAGGAAGCTAGATGATATTACTAAGTCTCCTTCCTCGGTAAGCAGTTTAGTCCGTGTTTTTCTTTCTTTACGAAATTAACTGTATTAGTGAATATATGATTTTAAATTACATTGCAACTGTATGCCGTAAATACTAAATCTCTTCTGATAACTTGCATCAGGGAAAACGTGGAACTCCGTATTATATGGCTCCAGAACTATATGAAGATGGAGGGGTCCATTCTTTTGCTTCTGATCTATGGGCGCTTGGCTGTGTGTTATTTGAATGTTACACTGGGAGACCTCCTTTTGTGGCAAGAGAGTTCACCCAGCTTGTGAAATCTATTCATTCAGATCCAACTCCTCCACTCCCTGGAAATCCAAGCCGTTCGTTTGTCAATCTCATTGAGTCTCTTCTTATCAAAGACCCAGTTCAAAGAATACAGTGGGCAGATCTCTGTGGTCATGCATTTTGGCAAAGTAAGATAAATCTAGTACAGTTGCCTCCTCAGCCTGCTTTTGATAATATGATTGGCATATACACAAAGCCATGTCTTTCCGAGCATAACGGAGACAGACCATGCAAGACCCCTCCAAAGTCTCGGGAGAAAGATCCAAAAGGTGGTTCAAAGCACAATGAGAACTCCACTCAAGGTTCAAGGGGATATGAGACGCCACAAAAGGGTACTCCTGGTGGTTCTAAAGCTCAACCAAAGCTTTCTAGTAAGGCAACTGTGGAAAAGCACGGAGGTCGTCCGGTTGCTAACAGACAGGTGAATATTCTAAGATTGTCAAGGATAGCAAAGGCAAATCTCCAGAAGGAAAATGAGAAGGAAAATTACAGGAGACCCTTACCTAATAGCAACGAGAACTGTGCTGAAGTGAAGATCGACAACACTGATATGGAACTTGATTTTGATGAAGACAATGATGACGAGGGACCAGATGAAATGGAAGGAAGCGAGAACACCTCTTGTGCACAAGATGAAAGAGTTTCGAGTCAAAATGACAGTCACGGAAGACAAAGAGTTATGAGCAATAATGTGCCTGATGAGAAATCGTCTGCAAATGAAACACCAACCTCGGAGGAAGCCAGAGATTGCCATGAAGAGCAGTCAGAGCCTATTGAAGTGTCAGCTGCGCTACCCAGTGCTAGTCCTCAGCTTAAAACTCACAGAGGAAGAGAAGTTTCTGGGTTTACTGCTAATCATGACTCGTCGAAAACACCTAATAGCCTCAGTGACGTCCTTTGGCATTTATCTGATCTGTCTGTTAGACCTGTCATGCCCAGCAGAAAATCTGACAAAGAAGCTGTGCCTTCTCTCTCATTTGAAGCACCACAGCCTTCTGATTTTGGTAAGATGGGAAAGCAAGAACTAGAACCGCTTAACAACAGGATCGTAACGGTCCTAACTGGGAGTAGTGCTGGCATGTCAGAGAAACAAAATTTGATCAGATACCTCGAGACATTGAGTAGCAATGCTGATGCAGCCAACATCTTGACCAACGGGCCAATTATGCTTGTGCTTGTTAAAGTTCTGCGATTATCCAAGACCCCGGCGTTTCGAGTACAAATTGCTTCCCTAATTGGTTTGTTAATTCGGCATTCTACTTCTATTGAAGATGAGTTGGCAAATTCTGGTATTTTGGACTCTCTTACTAATGGCCTTAGGGACAAGCATGAAAAAGTGAGAAGGTTCTCTATGGCAGCTCTAGGTGAATTGCTATTCTACATCTCAACTCAAAATGAGCATAAGGATTTCAAACCAACAGAGTCCCCATCGAAAGAAACTCGGTCTGCATCGGGTTGGCAGGTCAGCATTCCAAGATTTTTACTCTTAAATTGTGGATCATTAGGCTCTTAATCTTCATGGTGCATTGATTCCTATTTAAACAGATTCTTTTTTTTCCCTTGAACTAGGTTTCAAATGCCTTGATCTCTCTTGTATCATCTGTCTTACGCAAAGGAGAAGATGATCTGACTCAGCTCTACGCGTTAAGGACAATAGAAAATATCTGCAGTCAAGGAGCTTATTGGGCCACCCGTTTCTCCAGCCAAGATTTGATAAGCAACCTCTGCTATATATACAGGGCAGTTGGGAAACAGGAGAGCATGAGGCAGACCGCTGGATCATGTTTGGTCCGCCTTGCTCGCTTTAACCCTCCTTGCATTCAGACGGTTGTAGAAAAGCTTTCATTGAAGGAAATAGCTTCATCTTTTGTGAAAGGCAGCGCACGAGAGCAGCAAATCTGCTTAAATCTTCTGAATATGGCTATGATTGGAAGTCACACATTCCCAAGCTTTGGAAGGCATCTTGTGACATTGACAGAGGAGAAAAATCTTTTCCCTAGTTTGCTCTCCATCATAGAGCAAGGAACTGAAGTTCTGAGGGGAAAAGCTGTTCTCTTCGTGGCACTTCTCTGCAAAAATAGTAGGCGATGGCTAACAAATTTCTTCTGCAATACAAGGTTTCTTCCTGTGGTGGACAGATTAGCCAAAGAAAAAGACAGTTATGTGCAACAATGTCTTGAGTCATTCGTGAGTGTTATCGCCTCCATAATACCGGGTTTGCTGGACACAATAACCAGTGATATCCAGCAGCTAATGACAGGAAGACGCCATGGACCCGTCCCTGCCCTCAACAGTCGAACTGCTCTAAAGACTAATGCACACTTGTTCCCTGTGGTTCTTCATCTTCTTGGAAGCTCTTCGTTTAAGAACAAAATGGTAACCCAACAGATTCTACGCCAGCTGGCAAATCTCACAAAACTTGTGGAAGCCTCATTTCAGGTCAGTAGTTACAACTTTGCGATCCCCTTTTATATATTACCCTCTTTCCTCCAAATATTATGCTCTGTGTTATTTTATTTTGCACTATTGGGATTTGATTAATTGCTTGTCAACGTTTAATTTCCTTGCCTTATGATAGTTACTCTTCTATAATATGGTCAGTATTGCTAAAAGGATAGGATTAAGATTTTCATACAACTAATATCGGAACTTTCACCTAAATTCTTCTTCCTCTGTTCACATATATGTTTTGAGAATCTTCTCCATTTGCTCTCTTGTCTTAACCATGGTTTATAACACAGTGAACCTTGATACGGCATACTTGTGCAAATTCTCATGACTTGTTAACAATTTGCAGGGAAGAGACGACTTCCGTATAACCCTTCTTCAAGTTCTAGAATGCATAGCAGAAGATGCTCCTCTGGTTACACAAAATGCTGAGATTATTATCCGTGAGATTCTCCCATCTTTAGCTGCAATTTACAATGGGAACAAAGACGGGGATGCTCGGTTTCTCTGTTTGAAGATCTGGTTCGATTCAATGACAATTCTCTTGACCGAGTGCACCGAGATCGAGCAACAAACATCTGAGGATTTGAAATCAATATCCAACTCCCATTTCCTCCCACTCTATCCTGCACTGATCCAAGACGAAGATCCAATCCCAGCATACGCGCAGAAGCTCCTCGTCATGCTCGTCGAGATTGATTACATCAAAATCTCCAACATATTGCATCAGAATACAGTATCACAATGCTTCGAGTTTCTTCTCGGAGACTTATCAAGCGCGAATGTGAACAACGTCAAGCTCTGCCTCGCCTTAGCATCAGCTCCAGAGATGGAAACCAAACTACTTTCTCAGCTCAAAGTAGTGAGGAGAATCGGAAATCTGTTGGAGTTCGTGAATGCCAAGGACATGGAAGATTTCCTTGAACCCACTTTAAATCTCTGCAGAGCTTTTCTTCTACGGTCACTTGGAAACAAGAAAGGTCTCAGCTCCACCTACACGAAAGAGCCAACGCTTTTATCAGAGACATCTTTTACATTCGAGGTCGATCCACAAGAATGTATACGAGACATTGCAGATTTCGGCAGCAACATTGGCTTATTCTTGCACCTCGCTGCTTTAGATGACACGAGCATCGCAGTCGCGGATATTGCCTCTGAATGCGTCGTGTTGCTGCTTAAAGCGGCCTCGAGAGAAGCCACGACGGGATTTTTAACCAATCTTCCTAAGATCACACCGATTCTCGACACGTGGCGCCGGAGGAAGAGCACGGAGCTACAGTTGTTGGTTCTGAAGAGAATCATGCATTGTTTGGGTTATGCGTGCAAGCAGTATCTGTCGCAGGCGATGATTCTGTCGATATCAGGACATGATGTCTCTAAGATCAACGCCATTGTCTCCGAGATCAAGAACTCAGACGTCGCTGGTCTCAGTAGCGTCGCTTCGCTCGTTGCTATGGAGTTGCAGAGGTTGCCTCGTTGAGTTCTGAACAAGGTAATAGTCAAATGATAATGTTTTAAGTCTTTTTTTATAGTTTTTGTTTAATTCAAGTCGTTCTACAGTTTCGTCATTTCTCTCTGTTAAAACAAGATTAACGACAATGGCGCTGAGCTGTAGATTTTGAGTATGTACGAGGTAAACAAACTCAAATGTTATATTGAAACCCAGAATCAAGATTTAATGTCTCTTTCTAATGTATATTATTGAAGTTCTCTCCATTACAGTTTTTGTAACAACTAGTATTACCAAGTTGCTTAAAATATCTTCTAAATTTACACACATTTGTTAAGGTTTTAAGGCAGATCTAAACCACACTAATGGGTAGTTAAGTCAGATTAGACTAGACTGACAATTACTAAAAAAAATTGAATAAATCTTATGGTTTTTTCTTAGATGTTGCTGAATTATTGTTACGACTTTTGTGTGTTAGATAGTTCAGTACAAATATGATGATGTCTGTATTTATTTAGGGACCTAGATTGGTCTTTTGAAAGTGTAAAAGACAAAAGGAATCATCCCTTGTGGAAAGCCCTTTGCTCTATAACAAAATTCAATGTCTTCAATTATATCATTCAATCACACTAACCATTTAAATTGCGCCATGTGGTATACGAGAGAGATCAGCTTTTCCTCCCACTCAACCTACTCCAATAATATACTCAACTCGAATGCTTATAGTTTCATACTTTCATAGCGAATTTTATGTTATATACATGCAAATGTAAGTAATAGCATAAAAATAAGTAAAAACAAGAAACATTATAAGGAAATTGGGGTATAAAATAAAGTTTCAAATATGGGGATGTTCGGGAGCATTATAAAGATTGACTATCATAGAAATTATATAATCCATTCATACATGAATATGATTATTTGCTATGAAAAATAAAAGAAACAAAATACTTTATTGGAAATTGAAAACTATTACGTGTGTACTGTGTACATATACTCAGTTATGCTAAAGATGAGTTACAAGCAGGTAACCAGGATCTCCTCTTTTCCTCCAAAAAAAAAACTTTAAAAATTAAAGAGGAAAGCTTCTTTTATATAGAGACATCATCATTACAACTCAAAATGCACTCCGATCAGTAGATCGAGAGAGACAGATCCAAAAATAAACTAAAAACTCTACTTTGATTTTCATCATTTAAACCAAAAGAAAGAAAAAAAGAGAAGATGGCATCCTCTTTTCTCAATAAACTTCTCATCATCATCATCTTCATCTCTCTCTCCTCTCCTTCTTCTCTCTCTTTGCCATCTTCTCCAACCATCTCTCCCCTCCAACAGCTTTCACCAGAGATCGCTCCTCTACTCCCTTCACCCGGTGACGCTCTACCTTCCGACGCCGGTGCCGGCACAATTCCTTCTTCCCCGAGCCCTCCTGATCCCGACACAAGCGACGACTCCCCCTACCCTGACCCCTTGGCCTTTGCTCCATTCGCTTCTCCGCCGGTTTCTTCTTATGCTCCGCCGTCTCATCCTCTCACCGGAGTTTTACTACTCTCCGTCATCGTCTCCTCCGCCTCGCTCCGGCTTCGTGGCGCTTAGAAGTTAACTTCACTTATACATATTTTCGAACGTTTTGGTTTTCACGTGTTTGTCCAAATGTATATCATTCTCGAATAACAAAGATTAATACATTTTGAATTTCGTTGTAGGGTATGTTATATATTTATTTTTTCTTTTTAGATGCACTCATGTCATGCCACTTTGAGTCGATGTTAATCATGTGTATTTGCATGCATATATAAGTTTTTGTTTGTTAAAGACATCATATATCAAGGATGATACCATTTGATCTGAAGTTTACCATGTGGTTGTCTTAGGACAAATAGAGCTAGGAACGAAATTTCATATCATATACAATTAACCTATAAGCATTAATTACTTAATATTTATGTACGTGCATTATATCCGTTTGAATGAGCTTTATATTTTTATATGCCGATACTAATGAGGAGAATCTATGTTTAGGTGAACTTTATTTGTCTGTTTCTAATGTTGCTTTGTTCTTTTTTTCCTGATAAAAGACCTTTTGAAAAAGTTTAAATCATGCTTTGTGGATTTAAAGACCCAACTACAAAGTAATGAGTGTACAAAATATATGTACAATTTTTTTTGTTCATATGGTAACAAGAGAGTAAAGTTAGAGAACATACATGTGTTTATTTCTTGTAAATTTATCTGAAGAGATATGTTTACTATATTTATACGTATAGCCCTGAAAATTTTGGGACGGGAACCCGATTCCCACCTATACCCGTTTTGAATTTCTCGTCCCATTCTCTTTCCCGTTTTAGAAAATTTCCGTTCGAGATTATTTATTTTATTCAAACGGGTAAGGGAAAGGGTAAGGGAATAAGATCGGGAACCCGAATTCCCGTTTAAAAAATTAATATTTCAAAAATTATATAATTTCTCAAATTTTATTGAATTTTACCGATGTTTTTTAAAATTTTCTGAAAATTTCCAAAATTTCCCAAAATTTTCCAAAATATATGTTTTTAAATTGAGAATTTGGGATTCCCGTTCCCGTCCCATACCCGCAGATTCTCGTCCTGTACCTGTAGTTTCCCGTTCTATTTTTGTCGGATTCCTTTATGAGAATCATTTCTGAATTCCCGAATTTCTCATTCCCGTTCCGTTCCCGTAAATTCCTTGAATCCCAAAATTTTCAGGGCTTATCATTCACTTAAACAAATAAAATATGGATACGCGCGCAGATTGATAAAAGATATAGTGTATGATGCATATTTAACCTTGTAAATGTAATCAAATACCTGAATTATATTCCAGAATGCCGAATCGTTAGAGAGCATGCAAGTTAGTTGCTCCTGACGGTGCCAAAGCAGAAAAGTGTTCTTCTCATGTCTCACACCTTTCTGATTTTTAATATATATTTTTTCGGGTCAAATCACAAAAGACTTTCATGTATATATGTATATATGACTTTATACTTTAAGGTATTGTGCGTGACAGATTGTATGATCACTACAATGTTGTGTTGGTGCCCACTTACTTTGTCCTTAGTAGGAGAAATATATATATATGAAGCTCCAACATATCAAACTTGATGAAACTTTATCATCTCTACATGTGTTTCTTTTTCTTAACAAATCAAACACATTTGATCATGATAGTAAGACAACAGTTTTATTATTACAGACGATTAAGCAATAAATTTCGATAAATCTCAACATGCATTTTCAAAACACTATTGTCGCGCTGCTCGCGCAGAAAGCATCATGCCCAACTTCAGTTTAATGGCTAGGACTCAAACAAACACGAACGAAACAATTACACGAACAAATAAGTATAACGACGATTATTTTCTCTTTCTTTTTTTTCATTTGACTGATCAGTATACGATTTTAATAACTGTTGACCAATGTTATAAATAGTAAAAATCTATGGTCTTTTTACATGCTACATGGAATAGTCTTGGATTTTGTTCGGAATTTCCCGATTATCAAAAGAAAAAGAAAACATAAAAGATTTATCAGTGTGATTAGCTGCTTGATCATACATCTCAGCCATAACAAAAATACACCAATTCACTATCTAAAAAATACAAATGTCACAGAACTCCCCAATGTGGAGGTTTCAGTAATGATTCAACACACAAAATCGCAACATGAACACGGCTTAAGTTACACAACAGCTCTGTTTCTCGTTACAAGTTGTAACAAACAACCAAATTCTAACCGATAACGAACTAATCTTCAAACAATCAAACCAGCTCCGGTTCAGTTAACTCGTTGGTTTAACTTTAAACTTTTGAGTTTTGACAACGTTGTACCGATAAGTTGAGTTCGCAAAGCAACACATACATTATTTACAGCAAATATCACGTGTGTTGTAGTACTGACCACATACCGTAAGCTCAAGCCCAGGCCCGTTTTTAAAACCAATAAAGTAAAACGGCTTTGAGAACTCAGGCCACAAAGTACAATCCAAAACTAAACCTCACAAATCCAATGTGTAAGACAAAGTTTTAAAGAAATATTTCAATGAGGGTTTAAAAAAAAATGTGGATTTAGATCGGATTGTTGCAAAGTGCAAACCTCAGGGATTGATGACGGTGAAAATATAAATAGACGTGGAGGAGATCATGGTCGGTTCAAAAGGTATGTACAAGCTATTTACAATGAAATTTATATTACAAAACTGAAACGGTATTTTCGGAATACACACTTAATAACAGTTGTGGACACTTTGTAGTTTGTACTGCGATATAATTTAACATACAACAAAATACAATACAATTTGCGGAAGTACTGAGCTTGGAACATGACAGGATTAATTAAATTAAGCACCCATACTTATCTAGAAGACTATAACTATTTTTTTGTAATTATTAGTATTAATAAAAACAATTGAAATGCCTTTTTCTTTTGTCAACAAATTAGTTAGGTTTGGCTTTAAAAGAAGAAAGGGACAAAACACAAAGGGAATAATAGAGCATTAATGTAAGAGTACCCCCGCTTTTGGTTTATCCACTCATTCGAATGAAAAAAAGCATGACGCTAACCTACGCACCCACCCAAATTTGTTTATATGAATAAATAATCTATGCCTAATGATTCATGGATGTGTCTTTACAATGATTATGTAATTCTTCGCCTCCAATATCTATCTGTACATACATCTAATAAGAAAATATTTGTCAACTAGGAATAGAATCACACGTATGTATGAATAAGAACATTGTATTTGTTCTACTATATGATACATACATGGTGTTGTTTGGATATTAAATCAACTTGTATTGTAGTGCTAGATTAAGCTCCTCTTATAATTTCAATTTTGTCAAGTATGTTAATCCAACACGCATATTATTAACATACATGTGATTCTAATGCATATTGACAACCAAAAAATTCGTAGATACGTGTGAATAGGATTATATCTGAATAAACCTTTAACATGTTTTTAAGTGGAATTCAAACATACGTTGGGTCAAGTACCTTTCAATAATCCATTGATACTACCTGCTTTGTTCCAAATGGCTGATCCCACAATTGTTTTCGATTTTTTCCAACAAAAAGAATAGAACTTGATTTATATTCTGAAGTAAAATTTTAGTTGATATATTCCAACAACCATCTTCTCAAATAAAAATCACAATTATTTTTGGTCTCCCCTCCACTGTAACCTGAAATATATTTTGTATTATTGTTATCACCAATTAAACTCTTTACATAAACTCTTAGCTTATTTAAAAAAAAAAAAAACTGTCAATATAAAATACCAACACCGTTAAATGACGAGATTATATTGAAAGTTCATATTCGATTTCGAATAAGCATGCAATCTATACCCATTTTAAAGAACTACTTTCTTTTAAAACCTAACTTTAATACCAATTATCGACTCTGCAAAATTCTTTTATTCCTCCACTAGTATATTTTTGTTCATTGTGTCAAGTGACCAACCCCACAACATACAATAAAACTTATTACTATTATGAATTCCCATTCAAGTTTGAGTTAGTGTAAACATTTTAAATGATATAACTGTTTGCCTTTTTGCACATCCCAAGATTGGCTTGAGATTTGATATATGATGTATCATAATTACAAAAGCATACACATACGGTAAAAGTTATTCTGTAGTAGTAGTAGTATTTTTTTTTGTAATTGACCTGATTTCGTTTGTGGAATTTTTCCTTCTTTTGGGTTAAACGAGGATCTTCCCTTCAAAAGTCAACATGTCAAAGGGTAAGAACTTAAAAGCCCTCGATTGGTATGACTTTTTCTTTCATTTATTTCTTAGATATTTCTACTATTTTTTGAAAAGCTTTTCTTCTTCTCCATCTTAATTAAATGTCGAGTTGCTACACAAAAGAAAGAAGAAAAGAACAATTCAAGGTTAATAAATAGGAAGGGACCGAATGGAAATAGAGAGCATGGGGCCCTACTACTTAGGAGCGATGGTTAGATATTTCTAAGTGGGCCCATGGACCTCCTCTTAAATACTTTTTGTACTATTTACATAGCCCATGAGCTTCGTTGGCTTTTTTTAAATAGAAAAAACTAATGTCTGCAGGGTCACATATATAAATATATGATTTAGTTAATTTGTTTTGAAAAATTTATTATTATGTGCCTATTAAAACCAGAATCTTATCCAACCTACTGATTTCTCAGCCACCATTGGTTTTTATCATTTTCTTAACAACCAGATTTGTATTTTTGCTAAAGGTAGCATAATATTTTACCTGTAAAACAAAATGAATTAATAAATGCATAAGTGTTGTGTGTAAAACAAAAGTGTATTCAAATGCTGTTTCTGTCATCCTACGAAATTATGAAGATGATTGATTTTTAATTCGATATCAAAATAAACAAAGAGAATGTTTTAAAGAAGATTCATCATAAATATATAAAAACAAAAGAAAAGCTTAATTAAAATGGTTTCTACAATTCAAAATCAAATCAGATCAAATATCTTTTCGTCATTTTTTCCATCTATAAATGTACATTTTCATTGCCAACTACTAATTTACCTAAATATTTGATTGACCAGACTATTATTATATATTTTTGTACTTATTTTAACTTTTTAAGAACCAAAAAAATGCAAAAAAAAAATACAAATACAAATTTTTATTAGTAGTTAGCAATTTAGCATAAGCTGTCCCCAATAATTATTGAAAATCTACATTGGTTCCTCCTCTCAACAACACCATCACCACTTTCTTCTTCCACCTAAAACCTCTCTCAATCATTCCCTCCTGAATCCCAAAATCATCACTACCGACCATCTCTCACCCTTTATATATCCCCATAGGTCGTATGACCTTACGAAGCTTGATCCTGGAGATGCGCTCGAGGCCGCATCGCGTGGTGCACGACCTTGCCGCCGCCGCCGCTGCCGCTGCCGCAGACTCGACTCCTGGCTCATCGGAAGCTCATCGCTGGTCAGAGATCCCAGAAGAGCTTTTAAGGGAGATTCTGATTAGGGTCGAGGCGGCTGACGGTGGCGAATGGCCGTCGCGACGCAGCGTGGTGGCTTGCGCCGGAGTCTGCCGGGGCTGGCGACTAGTAATGAACGAAACTGTCACTGTCCCTGAGATCTCTTCTAAATTGACTTTCCCCATCTCTCTCAAGCAGGTCTCATTCCTAATTCTGCAATATGTCTTCTTTGATTGAATTAAGACATAAAGTTTTCGCCTTTTAAATTCTAGAATAAAAATGGACGACTGGATTCTGATGTTAGGTGTGTGGTGTCTGCGTATTAGTTGATCGTATGTGTTGGGTTCTTGTCCTATCGAATGTTGTCTGATCGAAAAAGGATTGTTATTTTTGTAGCCTGGCCCAAGGGACTCTCTGGTTCAGTGCTTCATCAAACGCAATAGAACTACGCAGTCATATCATCTGTATCTCGGATTAACCAACTGTGAGCATCTATCTCTCTTTATCCCATCCTCTTATTTAATCGAGAGAGTAACAACAAATATCTGTTGGAGCCTGTCTTGTCTTCTTTTCTCGTATCTCGGGTTCTGATTGACATAGTTGTCCTTGCACAGCTTTAACGGATGATGGGAAGTTTCTGCTAGCTGCTTGTAAGTTGAAGCACACAACTTGCACTGACTATATTATCTCTTTGCGTTCTGATGATATGTCGAGGAGAAGCCAAGCCTATGTTGGCAAAGTGAGGTGCGTGCATATTGATTTTAGAGTCATGTTGATAAAATATATGTAAACTCATGTTGATAATTTGCTCTTTCTAAACTTGTTGAAGATCGAACTTCCTAGGAACAAAATTCACCGTCTTTGACGGAAATCTGCTGCCATCAACGGGAGCCGCGAAGCTGAGAAAGAACCGATCATATAATCCGACAAAAGTTTCGCTAAAAGTTCCTCTTGGAAGCTACCCTGTCGCTCATATCACATACGAGCTGAACGTCTTAGGATCCAGGTAATGCCTTTTCAGTTTCCACTTTCCTCTTCAGTATGTTCTTTGTCTGAAACTGTTCTCCAACATCTCTTTTACAAGAGTTTATTGAAAGTGGTTTGGAAATTTTGAATTTACGGAACATAGAAAACTAATGAAACGGAGTAATCATTTAACAGGGGGCCAAGAAAGATGCAATGTGTGATGGATACAATACCTACAAGTGCAATGGAGCATCGAGGACTAGCTTCACAACCATCAGAGTTTCCCTTCCTCGGTACGCGGTCAACTTTTTCCAGGTCTCAGTCAAGACCGTTACTACGCAGCGGCTCGAGCCACTTGAAAGAGCCACCGTTAGTGCTGAGCAACAAGACACCACGGTGGCACGAGCAGCTACGTTGCTGGTGCTTGAATTTCCATGGCCGTGTCACAGTGGCTTCAGTGAAGAACTTTCAGCTGGTGGCAGCGCCGGCTAGCTGTGGCGCGAGATTGTCACCGGAGACGCAGAACGAGCGGATAATACTGCAGTTTGGGAAAGTCGGGAAAGATATGTTCACGATGGATTATGGATACCCTATCTCTGCTTTCCAGGCTTTTGCCATTTGCTTGAGCAGCTTTGAGACTAGAATCGCTTGTGAATGATTTATACGATCGTTGTGGTTAATCTTTTTAAGAGTATTTTGTAGCATTTTGTAAATTGTGATCTTGTAAAATAAACATGTTCTACTGTATTTAATAATGTTGCAGTTCCTCTTGTTTTTCCCCATTCTACATTGCTGCTATATTCGCTTTCTAAATATATGAGTTTTTACAAGAGATATGTCTTTAAGCTTCAGGATTTAAGATTTGATGTATTGTGAAGACATGAATACAAATAATTTTATAGGAAGACAACGAGATCTATATAAATGCTAAAAGAAGTAGGACACTTTCTTATATACATAGACAGATATGAATCTACATTTACATCAAGCGGCTTGCAAACTAGCTGCACCAGTGCCTGAGCCTATGCTCATCGTCTCGGCCTCATCCTCTCCTGCTTGATCGTATGAGGACAACTCGAATTGGTTCATGTTCCGGACAAAAACTGTGAAAGCATGGAAATGCTCCGGAGAGAAGAAAAGAGCTCCCATTCTCTGATAAGTGAAGAGATCAATTCCTGCATTCTCATCCTTCAGGTTCTCAACGATCCTCTCGAACCCACCAGGGACCGGGACCGACGAGTTTTGCCCTGACACAACCACTCCTTGTTTCTTGCAGGATGTTTTGATGTGGGCAAGTAATGACTCAGGGCTAGAGAGACTTTCCGGTGATTGGTTCTCGTCGGATAGATCCATTCCCGGTATTATCATTCTACAAGAGTTCTTTGCAAAAATCTCTGCGATTGCCTCGTACCTGTCATGACCATTAGAGCTGTAAAATCCAGCTGTTAACTCAGAAGGCTGTGATCTTAGCTTGTGCCATTGGTGTAAGAGAGGTAGCTTCCCACATAGAGACACTCCACTTCCGGTAAACGCGGATGAAGCGACAGAGAGGACTCGGTCTGCATGGGAGACGAGAAGAGACGAGTACCAAGACAAGAAGAAATCACCGTACTGAGATTCCCAGGACCCGCCGTCTGAGAAGAAGGAAGAGGAATGAGGCTGTTGATCGTAAGCAGGAGCATCGTGTGGGCCACCAAGTCCCCAGAGGGGGTTTCCTGTGGATTCAGCGTACTGTTTAAGAGCAGCAAGCATGTGTTTGTCGTAACACTGGAATTCTCCAGCGCCAGAGAGCTTGGCGTCGTGTTGGTGAGAAGGGTATCTTAGCTCGCCGTCTGGTCCCAAGCCTAATGTGATTCCCTGAAAAACAATGAGCAAATGTCACTAACGAAAACCAGAGCAGACAGCTTCAGACTTTAAATGCAAAAAGAAATGACTGATATAATACCGTGATTGTGTTGCCCATGTAATCTGAGAAAGCAGATTTGAAGCTCTCGCAGAAACCTCCGTAAACCTCCATAGGAGTCTTCCCATCAAGAACAGGAACATCATCGACAGCAAACGACAAACAATCTTTGTACTGTTTCCCATATCTGTCTGTAAAAAAGAGCCCTGGTTCAGCTTCGCCGATCTTTGCCACCCAGTCAGGGAGACCTATCTCCGGGTGTTTGGATCCGTGGAAACAGAGTGAAGCGTGAAGCTTGAGTCCAACCTTCTTAACAATCTCCGCGACTGCTAAGTAGCCTGACCATTCATATCTTCCTGCAGCTTCTTTCTCAACCACTCCCCAGAAGATTGGTAACTCAATGCCTTCTACGCCAAGTAGCTTTAAAGCTTTGAGCCCAGCCGTGATGGCTTTCATGTGGTTCACGTTGTTGCAGTCTGAAACTGTGTCTAGTGGAAGCCCAACGAATAATCTCACGCTCTCGAGCTGCAACAAAGACAAAATTTGAAAACATGTTTAATATTATCCATCATCCTTCAAAGAGTTTCTCACGTTGGAGCACAAGACTGGTAGTTATTTTTGCTAGTTGATCATGTATTGAGAATTAAAATGATTTAGTATATGTTAACACTATATTATAATCATAAATCATCATTATCACTTAATGTATCGGTATGAAGTTGGTACTATCAACAGAAACAGCAAAAAAAAAAAAAAAAGGAGAGCTTTTCTTCGATTTCTGCAGACTTCACAGGAAACGAATAAATTCGACAAAGACGCAACTTTGCACAATCGACAGTCAAATTTAAATGAATACCTCAACTCTTAGCTAAAGCAAGTTTGATAGCAAATCACTGGATCTAATAAATCTGGACCATTTTGAAATTTCTATAAAGTTAAGAACAAGAGCAATCGGAGGAGAAGAGAGGAGAATAATTACCGATCTAGATTTTGGAGTGGGCTTCAGGAACGGGACTTGATCGGACACGATGGCTTCGCATCTGACAGACCTCGGAGAGCACCGGATCCCGATCTGCTTCCATTTCGAGCTTTGGCTCCAGAAAGTAACCTTATTTCTCGATTCGCCGGAGACTACTACGGACCCGAATCTAAACCCGAGCTCCCTGTAAGCTAATTCTGCTCTGAAAATCCTCGCTTGAGGATTACCAATCACTGAAACGTCCATTTGACAAAGAGAAAATCGATACGAAATCGAGAAATCAAAGAAGGAGAGAAGAAAAATTAGAGCTATAAAGAGATTTATCCTTTATCCAATTTCACAAGAACGCCGAAATTAGTAAGCAACAAAAAAAAAAAGCGAATGGATTACGATAAATCGAGAAAAGTGATTTGTGGATTTCTTACGGATTTTGAGGGTTGGGTTTATATAAGATACAAATTCAGCAATGAGAGAAAGAGGTAGCGGATAAACGGTGCCCTCGTGGACACTACACGTGTCGTTACCAGAATGCTCCCATACTTGTAGCCGCTTAAATTTGCCTTTTCGTTTCTCTTTTTTAGCTGCATTTTAATGACAATATTTTGATATTCAAACGCGACCACGAAAATTGAACTATTAAGGAATTATACCACTAGAAATACTTTTCGAAATGGAAAAGTATTTTTAGTGGTATGGTCATCATGGAACGTCTTTCCATGTATAAAAATGAATGATAGAGATCAATGGACTTAAATTCTTTAATTTTGTAATTGTAATATAATCCTTACTCCCTCCCATGGATATCCATATCATGATTTGCAGTATTTTATTAATTAAGTATAGTAATTAGAATACCGAGACAATTGAATCTTATCCAAATTAACTGTATAAACCTATTATTGCTGGATTCAGTGAACAATATCCACAACCGTTCTTTTCGGTGGGAGATACATTAGATAGTTTACTATTTTTAAATAGTTTTGTAAATGATTACTTGGCATGTCTAACGAATACAATATATTTTTAAATTTATTAGCCAAAGAACCAACAATTTGTTTCCATGCATTATTGGGAAAACACAATCATATTCGTGTGATAATGGTTAGAAAAACATGGACGTTACGTAAAAAACGGAAACAGTAAGTGGATAGTGGATAATAACATTGTATTGTCCCAAGAAAATCCGATGTGGTAATGTTAAAAGGCCACGTCATGACAAGTTGTCAATGACGAGGGTGTAATTTTATAAATCATTATTTTCACTCGGTTTGATTTGAATTAACGTACGGGTTCAGACAGATTGACACGTGTCGTAATATGGGAGGTTAAAAACATCCACGCTGAGTCAGGTCCATGCAACTATGTTCCCTAAGATTCTCTGTAGTACGTGAAGCTGCAACTCTTTATTTTATTGACCACATCCTCTCTAGATCTCTCTGCTTCTCGCTGTGTGGTTTTTATCATTTCGTAGTATTTTAATAAAAAAAAAATATTTGAACATCAGATTAAATGCCTAAATATAAATTAGATTTTCATTATATCAAGGCATTTTTAATAGATTCTACAAATAGACCCGATCATTTAATTTATATGGTGGATGTTGTAGTGGTCGATTTCCGAAGACAAATTTTTTTGTTGGTCGTCGATTTCCGAAGACTTAAAAAACGTGGATTTTTTCTATAATGCATGGCCAATCTCACGCTCTAGCCCTTGTCTGTATCAAATGTTCAAAGGAAAATGCAAGAAGATGCGTCGTGGTCCTTTACGTATCACTAAAAGTCTCCAAACAAAGGAATCGGACCTTTGGTAGCCGACAAAAGCTTTGGGGGCGTGTTAGGTAATTGCTAGCTATAGGTTTTAGTTTGAAACATTTGGAACCAAGTATGCTTTTCTTCCACTTGTCACTTGCCACTTGACGATGCGTATACAATTAACATTTTCTAAACTTAGAGTTCTTCTAAATAACTAAAAAAATATTTGTTTAATCAAAATTGTCCAACCATAGTCATGTCAACTTTTAGAAGAAGAAGAAAAGGTTTCATGAATCATCCATAATCCATATTGTTGATCCGTTTTTTTTCATATGACGCTTGAATGAATCTGGGTGTTTATATTGATTTATGTTCTTTTATTACATGGAATAACATTTATCCTTTTTTTCCTTATTTCTCCTGTATATTGGGTGATGAAACTAAACTCCGATAGTTTTTTAATGCAGATTTTGATGATCAGTTAAGAACGAATGCAATAATCAAATGAAAAGGATGCCATAACACGAGTTGTCTGTGACCTTATATCGAGATAAAGTTCACTTGAAGAGAACGTTTTTTGATATTTATCCCGGCTTAGAGCATGTGGTCAGAGTGCATTTGCACAGGGTCCAATTACAATTTATCAATTTTTCTTTAGTTTTTAGGGTCCAAATTTTTTTTAAAAAAAATTGCAAAACAAAGCTTAAATTTATAAAAATATCATATAGTTTTGTTTGGGTTCAGAACAGGGCCCGATTTTTCATTAAAACGGGGCCTGGATACTATGTACTAAGGTTAAATATAATCTTGTCTAATCCCTTTGTTGAAAAATAATGTCTTTAATATAATCTTGTCTAAACCCAAGCCCAGATATGTGAGTTGTCCACATATTCATCATACAGTTCTTTAAAAGACTTGTAACATGATCATTCGGTTTAGTTACAATAAACTTTCGGACAAAGTAAACCATCGTGCACACAGGCACCAGAGTCAATCTGGCTAAGAAACGAACTTTTCTTGATAAC